AGAACTGCAGGACAAAAACTAACAACAGCAAGATGGCTCACTAGTAAAGGCACTTTCCGTGCAAAGCTGGTGACATGCGTTTGATTTACAAAACCCACATAAAGGTGGAAAGGGAGAACTGACTCCACTAAATTGTCCTCTGACCTCCACATATACACACTGTGGTACACAGGCACGCACATGTATACACACACACACACACACACACGCACACAATATTAACAACAGCCCCCCCCCGGCCCCCAGCTCTGTACTTTGACAGAGCATCCATGAAATTATAGCTGTTTTGCATATGAGGCTTCCCTCATCAGCTGGGCAGGTAGCTCCTCTCCCATACAAGGGATGCATCTGTGAGATGGTGTGGCAGCATCCTCAGGTCCCAGCAACCTGGGCAGGCCTGGAGGCCAGCTCTGATGCCAGCTCTTAGTCAGTCATTTGGCTTTTTCTCATGCTTCCTCATGCTTTTCTTTCTCTTTGACACCCTTTCTCAGCATCCTTCACCTCTGCCTATTCCATCTTTTAAAAGTAACCTAAAGGGGGTTGAAGATACCACTGCATGCATGGTGAAGCTCTTGCCTAGTCTGTGTGTGGACTTAGGTTGATTCCTAGTAAGTTAAACAAACAAACATCATCTCAAGGAATCTGGACTCAGTGTTAAGTGTTCCTGGGAATCTTTTTTTTAAATGTTAACATTTATTTATTTATTTCTTGTGTGTGTGTTTATATGAACATTCATTTGCCACAGTAAACATATAGAGATCAGAAGACAATGTATAGTCCTGCTGCCACATGGCTGCAGGTGATCAAACTCAGGTCATCAGGCTTAGCGCCAAGTACCTTTGCCTGCTGAGTCATCTGACTAGCCCACTTGTTTTTTTTTAAAAAATATTTCATTTATTGGGCCAGGTGTGGTGGCACACGCCTTTAATCCCAGCACTCAGGAGGCAGAGGCTGGCAGATCTCTGTGAGTTCAAGGCCAGCCTGGTCTACATAGTAAGTTTCAGGACAGCTGGGGCTACAGGGAGACCCTGTCTCAAAAAGACCAAACAAAATATTTCATTTATTATTTTTATTTTTTTATGTGTATGAGTGTCTCGCCTGCATGTGTGCAAGCACACCCATGTTGCGAGATGCTTTCAGAAGCCAGAAGAGGGCATCAGATCCCCTGGAACTGGAGTTACAGATGGCTGTTATTCACCTTATGGGTGCTGGGATTTGAACCCGGGTCCTCTGCAAGAACAGCTAGCACTCTTAACCACAGAGTCATCTCTCCAGTCCCATCTTTTTTGTTTTTTTGAGACAGGATCTTATGCAGACCAGGCTGGCCTAGAATATCCTATGTAGCTGAGGATGACCTTGAAGTTCTGACCCTCCCACCTGCACCCCCAACATTCTGAGATTTCTGGTGTGTGCCACTGAACATTTTGTTTTAATGCAGTGCTGGGGATCGAACCCAGTGCTTTGTGCATAACAGGTAAACACTGTACTAAGTTACATCCCTAGCTTTGGAAGTTCACGTAAGCCCAAGCATTCAAGACCAGCCTGGGCAATGTAGTGAGACCCTCCTCACATCTCAAGACAAACAAATAAGAAAAATTGCCCCTGGGGATGTATAGTTCAGTGGTGGGGCACTTGCCTGACAAGCATGAGGCCTCATGATAGACCCCAGCCCTGCCAAAATTTAAGAAAAAAAAAAAAAAAAAAGAAGTCAGATACACAAAGTTCAGGATTCAATTTATATGAAATGTGGAGAGCTGGTAGTCTTGCTCAGTGGGTAAGGGGCTTTGCTGCTAAGTCCCATGACCTGTTTGCTCTCCAGGAAGCACATGGTAGAAGGAGAGAACCAACTCCTGCAAATTGTCCTCTGACCTCCATATAAATGTGTGGCACATGCATTCTCCCACATGTACACACAATAATAATAACTAAAATAAAATTATAAAAATAAATAAATAGAACAAGCAAATCCATAGATACAGAAAGCAGATTAGTAGTTGTCAAAGCTGGGGGAGAGGCAGGAGAAATGGCTCAATGGCTCAGAGCACTGGCCGCTCTTGTTGCTGCTCAGCACCCACATGGTGGCTAACAACTGTCTGTTATTCCACTTCCAGGGGATTCCATGCCTTCTTTTGGCCTCTGCAGTCATTGCATGCATGGGTACACTTACATACATGCAGGCAAAACACTCATACACATATAATAACAATAAATAATTAAAAAATAAATGAGTGTATTTATGTGATACAAATTTTGCCTCATCTTTAAAAAAATCAAAAGAAATCATCGATATATGCAAAAACCAGTAGACAAAAGTTTAAGGGATGCTAGGATAGCCATACAGCTGCAGAGTATATCCCTGTAGAATAATTGTTCATTACAGTGGAAGAAACCATGCTTGATGGCACATGCCTGCAATCTCAGCACTATGGAGTTGAAGGCAAGAGGTCCAAGATCTGTCTGGGCTACATAGTGAGTTCAAAGGTAGTCTGAGCTACATAGAATTATAGACTGACCTTGTCTCAAAAACCAAGGGCTGGGGATGTACCTCAATGGTGGAGCTTTTATTCAGCATGCTCAGGGCCCTGGGTTCTACCCCGCACTGCAAAATAAATTAATAAATAAATATTGAGATAGGAGGAGGAACTTTGCCCAAGTTCTTAAAGTTGAATGCCATCAATATTAAGGACTGATATAAGCTACTATGCTCTGGGGAGGATCTAGGGGTTCTGCCAAAGATGCACAAAGTCAGTCAGGTGGAACCAGGAGGCCATTCTGCTGAGAGGCATCCTTTAGAACAACTGGCCTCACGTCTCTGAAAACACCAATGGAAGGAAATCTAGTGTTAGATCCTGGATCAGCAAAGAAGCATGCTAAAAGGGATGTTACTGGGAGCAACCAGAAAACTTTGACTAAGAACTTCAGGTGAGGGTTGGGGAGTGCTTGCCAATTACAAACCACATAAAGGTGTGGTAGTGCATACCAGTAATTCCAGGACTGGGGAGGTAGAGTTAGGAGGATTAGGAGTTCAAAGTCAGGGCTGGAGAGATGGCTCAGCAGTGAAAAGCACTGACCAAGCACTGACCTTGCAGAAGACCCAGGTTCAAATCCCAGCACCCACATAGGCTGGCAACTGTCTGTAACTCTGGTTCCAGGAGATCCAGTGTCCTCTTCTGTCCTCTGAGGGTACTGCATGACATGGGTACACTTACATACCATACACACATAAAATAAAAATAAATTTTTTAAAAAAGGAGTTCAGGGTCATTCTCTGCTACTTAATGCGTTCAAGGTTAGCCTGATATACTTGAGACTCTGTCTTAGAAGAGGGAAAAAGAGAAAAACTTGGGCTTGAAAGATGGCTCAGTGGGTTAAGAGCTTGCTGTGAAATCACGAAGACTGTAGTTCAGGTTCCAGCATCCATGTAACAAGCTGGGCATTCCACAAACACCTATAACTCCAGTTCTAAGGGGTCCAATGCCCTCTCCTAGCATGTGCACAGTTGAACTTACCTATAGACACACACAATTAAATTAAATAAAGCTTTAAAATTTTAATTATATTTATTCATTGGAGGGGCACGGGCACCACATGTGGAGGTCAGAAGACAACTTGGGGGAGTTGGTTCTCTCCTCAACCATGTTGGTGTCTGTGTATGTCCTCTGGGGTTCTGTATCTACTCTGACCCAATGCTGAGCACCCCCAGTACTGGCTTGTTTTTTCTCTCAGACTTGAGACATCCCTCCTCCAGGACTGAGCCTGGGACCTCTAGGGTCTCCATTCTCACCCCAGACACAGAGGCTGCCAGGAGTCTTTGCAGGTCTGTTTTTGTAAATCGCCATTAATTAATGGCATTGAATAAGATGGTCAGCAGTGAAAAGCACTGGCTGTTCTTGCAGAAGACTGGGGTTCGATTCCCAGCACCCACATGGTGACTAACAACCATAACTCCAGTTCCAGGGGGTCGCACGTCCTCTTCTGTCCTCTACTGGCATTGTATGATATAGGTGCTCTTAGACACATGCAGGCAATACAATCATTCACATAAAAAAAAATAAATTTATCTCCTCTGTGTGTGTGTGTGTGTGTGTGCGCGCGCGCGCGCGCGCATGGGGGGGGGTCCGTTACACACACACATGTGGACGTCAGAGGACAACTTGTGAGATGCAGATCCATCATGCAGATCCCAGGGATTGAACTCAAGTGGTCAGTCTTGGCAGCAAGCACCTTTGCGTGCTTAATCATCTTGCCAGCCTGGAGTGGACCTCTGTGATCCACCCTTGGCCTCTTTCTGGGAGGACTACACCATCGGCGCATGAGACTCACGTAATGAGATTCCTGGTGAGGCTGTACATGCTGTCCCAGGTTTACAGCTGGCCCATGTTTCCTATTTTAGGGTCCCTATGAAGCTCCTGCATAGATTTGCATGGGTGCCTTGGTGGTTGCACGTTCATTAGCCTCTCTGGACTTTCCTTTGGAGGGTTTGGAGTGTATGGGGGGGTCAGGGGACGTCTGTGTTGGTGTTCTGGCTGTGTCTGTGTGTCCTAGCTCTGGTTGAGGGCTGGAGGACGGGGGGCGGGGTGCTTAAGAGCTGGGTGCCTGTCATGGAAAGTTAGGTATGCATGTCGTGAGGGGCCTCAGTGTTCTAGGGTCCTCAGGTCCCGGGCTTGGAGGGTAGAGGGTGGGCTCCGACTCCTGGAGGCAGTGCAAGGGGCGGGGGCGCGCAGGGCCGGCCCTGGGGCGGGGCAAGCGGCCTGGGGTTGGGGGCGGGGCGGCCCAGCCGCTTCACTTCGGCGAAGTTGGCGGCGAGGAGGCTGGCCCGGGACGCACCCGGAGCCCAGGGGAGGAGGGGGGAGGGAGGAGGGGGGGGGGGGGGGCGGCCCAGCCGCTTCACTTCGGCGAAGTTGGCGGCGAGGAGGCTGGCCCGGGACGCACCCGGAGCCCAGGGGAGGAGGGGGGAGGGAGGAGGGGGGGGGGGGGGGCGGCCCAGCCGCTTCACTTCGGCGAAGTTGGCGGCGAGGAGGCTGGCCCGGGACGCACCCGGAGCCCAGGGAAGGAGGGAGGAGGGAGGAGGGAGGAGGGAGGGTCGCTCCGGCCGCCATGGGGCCGGGGGCCCGCGGCCGCCGCCGGCGTCGTCGCCTGATGGCCCTGCCACCGCCGCCACCGCCCATGCGGGCTCTGCCCCTGCTGCTGCTGCTGCTGCTAGCGGGGCCGGGGGCTGCAGGTGAGGGACCAGGGACTTGGCGGGCGGGAGGGGCTGCTGGGGAAGGGGGAACACAAGCACTCCTCTAAGTTTAGGATTTAGGGGGCCTGCAAGCCAAGGACTGGAGCCTGAGCAAAGGTGCTGAAGCTGGGGGCCGTGTGCCAACTCAGGGACTTATGAGCGAAGGGCAGGGTCCCAGAGGCCTGAAGAACCGCAACCCTTGTGATTAAGGCTGGAGAGGAAAGGACCCAGGAGTCCGAGACTGGGGACTGTAGATGTAGAAATCTTGGGCTGAAGTTTGGGTGGGAGGTGTACCAAAAGTCTCCAGATCGCCCCCATCCTACCCCTGCCTGGAGTCTTGGGAAAGTTAGGATGGGGGTGTAAGTACTCCCAAGGCCTAAGACCCCTTGCACAAAAGACTCCCCCCATCCTAGGCGGGCCAGACGGGCGGGGGCACGGGGAGGGGGCGCGAAGTTCTCAGAGCTCTGAACTCGGAGAAAACTTCCCAGGCAGGAGCGCGGCAAGACCCGGCGCCGGAGCGGGAGGAGCGGGAGCTGGAGCCTCGGAGGCGCCCGCGCTCCCTCCCCCGCGCTCGCCCTGCTCCCTCTTCCGGCCGTAGCGGTCCCGCAGCCTCCAGACCCCACCTCTGTGCGGGGAGAGGAAGGGGCGAGGGCCACGTATTCCACGGGTTCTGGCCCCGCTCCGCATGACCGGAGCCCCTCCACCGCCGGCTCGGGGGCCCCCGCCCCTCCTCCTCTCCTCGCTCCCCTCCCCCGCTAGGGACAATGGCTACGCCGTCTAGACACCCCCTCCCCTCCGCCAGCCTCACGCTTTCTTTGCCAGACAAAGCCGGACCGCAGCGGTGCCGAAGAGGGGGCTGCAGGGGCGCCCCCACCCCTGTCCCAAGAAGCTTGATCGGCGGGGGAGGGGCACCGACGATGGCCCTGGCCAGGGGTCCTAGGGCGCCTATGGTGGGGCTCGGCGCTGGTGATGGTTGCTAGGAGGGACGGGCCTCCCAAGCCTAGCCTCTGGGCCCAGTAAGGCAGGACCCGGCAGGAGCCACCGCCCCCGCGGGGCCAGCGCACACTCAGGGCCTGTCACATACAGAGAGAGGCAAATGTGCTTGGGCTGGGGTTCAGCACACCCGCAGATGCACACTTGGCACACATAAGACACTCAGATGCACGCAGCTCACACTCCGACATATATGCACACATGGTCAAATACATCACACAGGCATGGATAGACCAAATCCTGGTCTGCACACAGATTCAAGGATACCTACCAGGTCTGATACACAGCCCATGCAGACACAACCTATAGGCACACAGCTGCACCCTGGGATAATGCTGTTCACGGGTAGTTCGATGTGCAGTACAGGAGTGCATAGCTGTGCAGTTTACACAGATAAAAGCATGGTAACCTACATGCATATTCACTGTTAGTCACACAACAGCCTAAAAAACTCAAGTCTCCATACAGACTGTTACACTCAAGTCTCCATACAGACTGTTACGCAAGTTACACACGTGCACACACATGTGCGTGGCTCACACCCATGCCTCTTGTCACACAGCTCCCTGTGTCACAAAAATGAGCAGGACCCTCATTCTCAACGCATGGTCTCAGCTTGTAATTTCTATGTTATACTCCAATTCCCACCCTCTTTCCATCTCTTTCTAACACACATCTACAGTGACTCCACACTTGCCTGAATATATAATTCTCCACTAGCCCCTCACCCATCTGGCAAGACAGACTGTGTCACACCCAAGAAGGACACAGCCCTGAGGGATGAGGATACTGGACAGGGCAGCACGTGTCTTGCACAGCTGCCCCTCCCTTATACCACACACCCTCTCCTTCTTACACCCAAAGCTGTCTCTATTCCTGTCATCTGTTATTCCTGGGTATATGCCTTGCCTGCTCTAACAAGAACCAGCAGGAGCCTGTGGACTGGAGTAGATGCCCCCAGAGCAAGGGAAGGTAGACAGAGCCCAACATTCCTTGCCTCTATTTTCCCAAGACTTGGGCGTGAAGCTGGAGATATCATTCCCTCCCCCTCCCCCCTGTTAACACTCAGCACCCTCACTTCCTGACTCTGCACCTCCCCGCATTCTGCACATCTTAGTTCAGGCAACTTCCTGAGCCCCCACATCTGGCATAAGTCAACTCCTCCTTCCCACCCCTGCCTTGTGGTTCCCAGGGCTCAAGCTGGCAGGGACAGCTGCAGCCCCAACAGCTGGAGCCTGGGCCTGTGCTGGGGGCTGTGGGAACGTTAGATGGGGGCCTCTGGGCACCCACAGAGACACCCTCAGCTCAGTGCAGCTGTTGCTTGGCAGACAAAGGAGGAGGGTCTATCCTTCTGGTTTGGGGTTCTGGGTGCCTGGATGACTCCCCACCTTCTTTTGCCCACCTCCCTAGCCCCTCCATGCCTGGATGGAAGCCCGTGTGCAAATGGAGGCCGGTGTACCCAGCAGCCCTCTCGGGAGGTTGCCTGCCTGTGAGTATCTGGCCCAGTGCCATCAGTGTCTTGTACCGCTTCTTCCATGTGTGTGGCTTCTGTAACTGAGTCTGTTTCCCCACTGGGACTCAGACAGGGTTAAGAGAGGGGCTCTGGAGTCTGGCCTGGGTTCAAATCCCATATCATGTTGCTAAGTGGCTGAGAATTAAATCCTTAAAGTCTCAGTATCCTGGAGGGGAAAATGGACCCAAGAACCCCAATTTCACAGAGTTCTTGCTCTTCTAAGGTCACATAATGGTCCTTGATAGAAACAACTATTATTCAGTTAATAACCTTTCAGAGCCCATTGGCAGGGGTTTGGCAGTGCTTGAGTGCATTCACAGCCTACCGTATTTCAGGATTTAGACACACAGGAAGCCTGTAATAAGGGACTGTTTTTGCTATGTTCTGGTTGTGTGACCTTGACTTAGTAACTTCCCCTTTCTGAACTCCCTGCATCTGTGAAATAGAAAGTCAGACACCAGGGAGAAGCATATTTGATTGTTCAGTAATACAAGGAAATGCAGAGGGTTGGAGGAGCTGAGGAAATGCAGAGCATTGGCGGCAGACAGGGCTGGGGCTCTGGGATACCTTGAGCAAGTGAGAGCTTTCTGAACCTTGACTTTTGCATCTGCAATCACTTTTCTCTCATGGGGTTGACTGTGAAGATTTGAAAAGACCCTTTAACTGAATTGTTCATACTTATAAAGTCCCAGATGAAGCAGGATTGTCTTTAGGCTAGCTTGTACTACATATTGAGTATCATGCCAGCCTGTAACACACAGTGAGACTCTGTCTCAAAAAATAATTTAGAAAAATTTGGATAGGCCAGCATGACGGTTCAGTGGGTAAAGACACTTACCACCAAGCCCGGAAACCTGAGGTCTATCCTGGGGGGACCCATATGGTGGAAGAAGAGCACTAACTATGCAAAATTGTCCTCTCTGACCTCCACATACACACATACACACAAATAAATAAATGATGGACCTTTGAAATCCTTTGAGAACTGGAGATGTTGTTCAGTGGTGAGTGATTGTCTCACCTATACAAGGCCCTGGGTTACATACACACCACACACACACACACACACACACACACACACACAGAGAGAGAGAGAGAGAGAGAGAGAGAGAGAGAGAGAGAGAGGCTGAGAGACCCACTGACTGACTGTTGTGCCTGGTAAATAGTGTTTAATAATCATAGGGACTCAAGAAATAGGTGCTATAAGGGAAACTTCAACGTTAGATGGGCTTATTTAATAGTACTAGCAGTTCACCCAGCAGCTATTAATTAGTTCTTCTGTATTCCTTTACTCAATACCAAGTGCGTCAGCCTTAAGCTGGGTGGGGTGGGGGCGGCTTTAGACTTACAAGAGCCCCCTTTGAAGTTACACGTGCAGGTGAGCTCAAGTGCCTGGAACCCCACTTGGCTTCACCCTTGGGGGGCACTGGGTGAGGGCCGTCCTTGGACGGGCGGCTTACGATGGTAAAGCTGGGATGGGAAAGTGTGTCCTTACTTGGAACCAGTCCCTTGGGAGGCTGAGCCCCAGGGCCGGACGCCTGCGCAGTGGAACTCCACGCCTGGACTACTGCCGACAGGTGAATGCGCCGGAGGCTGCCCTGCCCCACAACAGGTGAATCACCGGCGCACGCGGCCTCCAGGAGCCCGGATCTCTCGGAGTGGAGCGGGCTGAGTCTCCGCTGCAGATCTATTGGGAGAACCCCACCCTACGCCCCCAACCCCCGAACCCCCACCCTCTACTACAGTTTCTCAATACTCTAGCCCTCTTCCGGGTGGCCTCCCAAATGTCACTCTTCCAACCGATACCCCCAAGTCTTCCTCCCGAAAGTGGGCTCCGGAGCTCTCTGTCGTTTGGTCTCTGCCTGCCCTGCAGGTCCGTACCTTCCCTCCAAGCCTCCCCACCACCTGGGTCTCCAAAGCTCAGGCCGCGGGGGCGGGGCCAGAGCTGGAACCAGCCGGACCGGTCGAGGGCTCTGGGCGCAGAGCGTGGGAACTCGCCCGCAGCGCCGGGAGGGGGCCGCGCCTAGCCTGCCGAAGGGACCCACGGACCCAGGCGCCCCGTGCGAAGCGCCCCCTCCTGGCGCGCCATCATCGCCGCCCTGCGTGTCTTTGGAGAAGGGGGCTGACATCACCCCGCCGCCTCCAGCGCCACCCGCACCCTGCCGGGCTGGGCCTCGACTTGTATCGCTGGGAGCGGGCGGGGGCGGGGATGGGGATATTGTGGGGTGACGCTAAGAACTGAGTCACCTGCTTTGAATTCAGTCCCTGGCATTTGGAATAAGCCAGAGGGAGGGGATCCTCGAAAGGAGCGGGAAGGGTGGGGTGTAGGAGGGGGCTGAGTTGGCAGTGTCGCTTTGGAGCCTCTGACCTTTTCGCTCCCCTAGCCAGTCGATCACCTCCTTGTCCCTAGGAAGGTTACAAAGACCCTCTTCCAGTTATTTCTTTACACTCAAGGCCATCTGGATGGGTTTGGGGAAGGGTTTTCAGGCTGAAGGACTTTCCCCTCCCCAACACGAGGGAGGAAGTGCCAAGTACTATCCCATCCATGGGAGGAAGGCTGCATGAAGCCAGGAGAAAGGAATTGAGGGTTTGTGGGAATTATTCCTTCTGTTCATGTGAGTGAGAGTTCTCCATATTGCCGTAGGAGGCTGTGGCTTGCTGTCTGTGTTTGCCAGGTCAGAATGCCCAGTTGTATGTGTCTGTGTGGTTTCTAGGTCTTTCTGGATGTGTCTGACCATTGCCTCCTGGATTGTGAGACTTTCCATTTGGTGTTTCCAGTACTTGGGATGCCCTGCCCCACACTACTCTTTGCTGCCCCCCACCCCTTCTTTAGTCTGTGAGAATGTGACACCTACTTAGCCTGCCTGAGTTTCCTCTGGTTGCTGTAACAGATTACCACAAACTGGGTGACTTAAAACAACAGAAATGTACTCTGGAAAAATCTTGGAGGTGGGAAGTCTAAAATTAAGATGTTTCAAGGATAGGCACTCCCTTGGGAGTTCCACAGGCGAATGAACCCCTTACTGACTTCTAGCCTCTCTCTTATAAAGCCTCCAGGACTAGAGTGATGGCTCAGTAGGTTAGAGCCTGTTCTGCCCTTGCAGAAACGAGAGTTTGATTTCTAACACCCCTGGTGGCTCACAACTAAGCACCTACAACTCCAGCTTTGGGGTATCTGACACCCTCTCTGGTCTTTGAGGGCAGTTGTACTCAAGTACACATACTTTCACACAGACACACACATACACACATAATTAAAAATAAGTTAATCTCCCAGTTGGAAAGATGGCTCAGCAGTTAACCGCACTGGCTGTTTTTCCAGAGGTTTGCTTCCCAGCAGCACATGGCTGCTAATAACCATTGACAACTCGAGAGCCAGGGGATCTAATGCCCTTTCCTGGCCTTCCCCCCTTGGGTACCAGGCATGTACATGGTACACTTACATATATGCAGGCAAAACACTCATATACATAAAATAAAAATAAAATATTACAAAATAAGCCAATCTTTAAAAAAAATAAAAAAAAGACACCTACCATTTGGGACGCCCTTAGATAATCCAGGGTGATCTCATCTAGATATCCTTTACGTAATCACATTAGTAAAGATTCCCTCCCTCCCTCTTTCCCTTCCTTCTTTTTTCTTATACTGGGATTAAACCTAGGGCCTTGTGCATGGTAGGCAAACTCAGTACCACTGAGCTGGCTATATTTCCAGCACTCTTTTTATTGGTTAAAAAATGTATTTTTATTGTTTGTTTAGGCAGGCTTTTGTGTAGCACAGGCTGGCCTTGACTTTGCTATGTGGCCAAGGCTGACCTTGAACTCCAGATCCACCTCCTGCCTCCATGTCCCAAGTACCAGGCTTAAGATATCTTGCCTGACCCAGCTCCATTTTTTTTTTTTTCTAAAAAAGGTGATAATCACAGGTTCTGGGACACCACATCCTTTACAAGCCCTTGTGGTTTATACAGGTTGCTGCTGGCATGTGGTGCATTAATTTTTACTTGTCTCTTTTCTTTGTCTGACCTGGCTGTGAAGATCAAGAGGGTAAGAACCACTTTAATTTTGTTTGCTGCTGTCTTTAGCATGTAGTAGGTGTCAGAATAAATGGGTGTGCCTGAGTGTGGTAGTGTGTGCCTTTAATCCCAGCACTTGGAAAGAAGAGGCAGGCTCATTCATTTCTGTGGGTTCTAGGCCAGCCAAGGCTACACAGTAAGACCCTGTCTCAATTTTAAAAAAGAAAGGGAAGAAAAAGAAAAAGAAAAGAAAGGGATATGTTTGACAGTCGGATTGCTGGGTGTGTATTGTGTGTATCTGTCTGGGGCTGTCCTGTCCCCACCACACATCTCTGTCCACAGGTGTCTGCCAGGCTGGGTAGGTGAGCGGTGCCAGCTGGAAGACCCTTGCCACTCTGGCCCCTGTGCTGGCCGAGGTGTCTGTCAGAGTTCAGTGGTGGCAGGCACTGCCCGCTTCTCCTGCCGTTGCCCCCGAGGCTTCCGAGGTGAGGGAGGCTAGGGTGTGGTTAGTCCCAAGGGAGGCTAGGATGTGGTCAGTCCCAATCTCACCCTCTCCGGGTTCTTTCAGGCCCAGATTGCTCCCTGCCAGATCCCTGCCTCAGCAGCCCCTGTGCCCATGGTGCCCGCTGCTCAGTGGGGTCAGATGGCCGCTTTGTCTGCTCCTGCCCATCTGGCTTCCAAGGTCGAAGCTGCCGAAGTGATGTAGATGAGTGCCGAGTGAGTGGGCCCTGTCGCCATGGTGGCACCTGCTACAATACTCCTGGCTCCTTCCACTGCCAGTGTCCAGGTGGCTACACAGGGCCACTGTGTGAGAACCCCGTAGTGCCCTGTGCCCCTTCCCCATGTCGTAATGGTGGTACCTGTAGGCAGAGTGGTGATGTCACCTATGACTGTGCCTGCCTTCCTGGTAAGTGAGTGGGACCTAGGGGAGGCAGCTGGGGTTGGGACAATAGACCAGTCTCACAGCGACCATCCTTACCCCTCCTCTCCTACTAGGGTTTGAGGGCCAGGACTGTGAAGTCAATGTGGATGACTGTCCCGGACATCAGTGTCTCAATGGGGGAACATGTGTGGATGGTGTCAACACCTACAACTGCCAGTGTCCTCCTGAGTGGACAGGTGGGCACAAGTGCTGCAGGGAGCTGGGAGACTGACCTTGGTGGGCACACGGACAACCTAAACCAGTACATCTTTGTGCCCTAGGCCAATTCTGCACAGAAGATGTAGATGAATGTCAGCTGCAGCCCAATGCCTGCCACAATGGGGGCACCTGCTTCAACACGCTGGGTGGCCACAGCTGTGTGTGTGTCAATGGTTGGACAGGTGAGAGCTGCAGTCAGAATATTGATGACTGTGCCACGGCTGTGTGCTTCCATGGGGCCACCTGCCACGACCGAGTGGCCTCTTTCTACTGTGCTTGCCCCATGGGCAAGACAGGTGAGTAACGATTTTCTTTGTATGCAGTAGGCAGTTATTGATGGTTTTTGAGTGGGAGGTGAAGACAGACTGACTGTTTTTTGTTTTTGTTTCGTTCATTTTGAGACAGGGTCTCTCTGTAGTCCCAGTGTTCTAGAACTCACTATGTAGACCAGGCTGGCCTTGATATTAGGCAGACTAGCTTGTCTTTGCCTCCAGAGTGCTGGGATTAAAGGTGTGAAGCACTCACGTCTGTCTTTGACTCTGATTTGAGTGTTAGATTATGACAGGGCTGCTTCGCAGTAGCGCTCATTGTGCACTGGATGCACCTTGGGTTCAATCCTCAGCAAGGAAGGAAAGGAAAAAGGGAGAAGAAGGGAAGAAAGGTGTGTTAGCAATAGGATTTGGGGTGAAGGGTAAGCCTGGGATTGACCTGTGAGGAGGCTGGCACATGGTCCAAAGCAGAGACCACTGAAATGGAGAATTGCTGGAAGGTGTAACTGAGAAAGGGAGGACCTTGGGAAGTCACAAAGATCAGAGAATGTATTTAAGAGGAGGACTTGGAAGTGGAGGGAGGGAGTGTCAGTAGACATTGTACTCCACTTGGAAGTGGAGTAGAGAGCACAGCAGAAGTGAAAGCCCGAGACAGGGTCTTACTGTGTAGACTAGGCTGGTTTCAAACTCACGGAAATACACCTGCATCTGCCTCTGCCTCTGTGCTGGGTTTAAAGTGTGTTACCATGCCAAGGCTAGTGCCTTGATTTTTAAAAAAATGTTTTCAAGCTTTCTTCAAGTGGCTTAGAAGAAAAAGATTAACAAATAAACAATAGGGAACCCAGCATTCTATATGTGAGTGATCAACTTTTCTGTAGGCTTCACATTTTCCACAATAAACTGCCTAAAAACAAACAAAAGAGCCCAGCTACTGCTGGACTTGGTGGTACAGAGGCAGAGGCAGAGGCAGAGGCAGAGGCAGAGGCAGAGGCAGAGGCAGAGGTAGGTGGATCTATGTTGAGTTCAAGGCTAACCTGGTCTGCATAAACAAAAAAGGGAAACAGTTACTAAATACACTGCTGGTTAATATAAAATAAGGCAGAAAGCAGTAGATGGGCTGGCAAGATGGCTAAGGAGGTAAAGGGTAAAGCCTGGCAATCTGAGTTCAATCCCTGGGACCCATGTGGGTGGAAGGAAAGACCCAATTCCTGCAAGTTGTTCTCTGACTTCTACACATGCTCTATGGCACATGCCTGTGCCCCATCCCCCAAATAAGTAATTAAAAATAAAAAATAAAAAGCAAGGCTCTGGAAGTACAAGTCAGTGGTAGAGCTCATGGCTAGTGTGCCCAGGACCCTGGGGTTCCATCCCCCTCACCGACCTCCCTCCTTAAATGCTTGGGCAGGCTTAGAGGACCAATTCTTGATCTCTGCCTACCCTTTCTCAGGCCTCCTGTGTCATCTGGATGATGCCTGTGTCAGTAACCCCTGTCATGAGGATGCTATCTGTGACACAAACCCTGTGAATGGCCGGGCAATCTGCACCTGTCCACCTGGTTTCACTGGAGGGGCATGTGACCAGGATGTGGATGAGTGCTCCATTGGTGAGAGGGACTCCTCAAAATGACCCAAAAAGAGGGGAGAAGTGAGGCCCTGCCTGGCCATGCCCAATACTGACTGTGTCCCATCATCCCACAGGTGCTAACCCCTGTGAACATCTGGGCCGATGTGTGAACACACAGGGCTCCTTTTTGTGTCAATGTGGGCGTGGCTACGCTGGACCTCGCTGTGAAACTGATGTCAATGAATGTCTCTCCGGGCCCTGCCGAAACCAGGCCACATGTCTTGACCGCATTGGCCAGTTCACCTGCATCTGCATGGCAGGTGCGTGGTGGGTGTGGCCTGGGAAGGTCCTAAAGTATGGGGTCAGGGCAAGAAAAACCCAACAGGTGAAACTGGGTTTACTTTTTAATTTGATTAATTAATTAATTAATTATATTTTTATTGATTTTGGGGGTTGTAAGAGACAAGGTCTATGTAGCCCTGGCTGACCTGGAGCTTGCTCTGTAGACCAGGCTGGCCTGGAACTCGATATATAGATCAGGTTGGCCTCAAGCTCAAAGAGACCCCCCCTACCTCTGCCTTCTGAGTGCTCGGATTAAAGGTGTGTGCCACCATACTTGGCAATATTTTTGTTGAAATTTTGATAATTTCATACAATTTATTTTGAGCATATTCAGACCCCTTTCCCTATCTGTATCCCCTTACTATTCCCATTTGATTTCATATTCTCTATTATTTTTTTGAGGTTTATTGAGTCTAATTTGTGTCCCCAAATGCCATTTGGTATGGGTCCATCTCCTGGAGCCTAGTCAACTTATGTAGTATCACACCTCTAAAGAAAACTTGACTCTCCCTCTCCTAGCCGTTATCAGTTGCTAACAGTTCTTCAGCTAGGGTTGGGGCTTCTTACCTACCTCTCCCCCTCTATACTGGAAATTTGTCTGGCTTGAGCTTATGTAGATCTTGTGCATGCTGTCACAATTTGCTGGAAAACCATAAGAGTAACTGCCCTGATGTCTGGAAAACTGTTTCCTTATAGTCATTCACCACCGCTGGCTTTTAAAATCTTTTTACTTCTTTTTCTACAATGATCCCAGTCTTAGGAGGAGGGGATATAACATAGTTGTCCTGTTCAGTGCTAAGCACTCTTCAGTCTTATTTTCTGCATGTTGATCAGTTGTGGGTCTCTGTGTTAATCACTATCTGCTGCAAAAAGAAGCTTCTTTAGTAAGAGTTGAGAGATGCCTTATCTATGGTTATAATAATATGTCATTAGGAGTTGGTTTTATCCTATATCCATTTAGTAGAATAACAGGAGTAGATTCTCCTCTAGGACCTGTGACCTGTCTAGTCACAGATTCCTAGGCCTGATCTGTGTCAGGTATGGGCTCTAACTTGTGAAGTGGACCTTAAATCTACTCAGAAAGTAGTTGGTTGCTCACATAACATTCATGCCACTATTACATCAGTGGGCATATTTTGCCAGGCCAGTTATTACTGTAACTTTCAGGCTTCACATCTGGTCCAAGTTGATGATTACTTTTTTCTTCTGGTAACATGCATAGCACCTTCCAGAACTATGAAAGCTAGCCAGGAAAGATGAAGCTGTGAGGTCAGTACCAGCTTGATTTCTCCTTGTTCGTTCTATGTACAACTCATGTATGTGGTAGCTTCAGCAATAGGGTCTTACCATTAAGCTCTGGTGGGCAAAGAACAAGGACAATGGCCAGTATTGTTTGAGGGGCTATGGGATTCCTGGTCAACAGCTTCAAAAGAGAGAATCCATTCCTGTCATTGGACTTTTTATTTGCTAATCTGTTTTGTCTAGTAGGGGCATTGCACCCCTGTTATAGGGTAACTTCATTTAAACTCTCTTTACATTGGATATGTATATACTTTAAAGAAGTTTCTTGCACACCTTTAGTCCCAGAACTTGGGAGGCAGAGGCAGGCGGATCTCTGTGAGATGGAGGCCAGCTTGGTCTACATAGAGAGTGCCAGGCCAGCTGGGGCTACAGGGAGACCCTGCATCCCATGCATGTGGTGGGTCAGAGGACAACTTGCAAGACTTGCTTCTTTCCACCAGATGGGACCTGGGGCTCTGATACTCAGGACATCAGGTTTGGTGGCAAGTGTCTCACTTTCTGAGCCATCTCACTGTCTCTTATTTATTTATTTTTAAAACCTTGGAAATCTGTTGCCTTAAAATTTTTATTATATTTTATTTACCTTGTGTGTTTGCATGTGCATCAGTGTTTGCATTTCTGTGGTACACGTATGTCAAATCAGAGGACAACTTTCAGGAGTCAGTTTTATCCTTCACCATGTGGGTCCCAGGGATCAAATTCTAGTGTGCTTACATGCTGCTATCTTTGAGTCATTTTGCTGGCCTGGAACTGGATTTAAAACGAGATCCTTGGCAGCTGGGTCTGGTGGTGCACGCCCTTAATCCCAGTACTTGGGAGGCAGAAGCAGGCGGATCTCTGTGAGTTCAAGGCCAGCCTGGTCTACATAGTGAGTTCCAGGTCAGCTGGGGCTACAGGGAGACCCTGTCTCAAAAAGACAAACAAAACAAAACAAAACAAAACAAAACAAAACAAAACAGAGATCCTTGGCTAGGGACATAGCTTAGTAGTAGAGGTTAGTACAAATGAAGTTCCGAGTTTGATCACCATCACCATCACCAGAGAAAAAAGAACAGAGGGGGAGAGAGAGAGAGAGAAAGAGAGAGAGAGAGAGAGAGAGAGAGAGAGAGAGAGAGAGAGAGAGGAGAGAGAGAGAGAGGAGAGATCTTTAGGGTAAAACCCAACCTTGGATGGTGGGGGCAGGACCAGAGCATAGTTTTGCATAACCCTTGGTCCACTTGGGACCACAACTGGGTGAGGGTCCACCTTGTTTGAAACAAAATCTAAAGCTGGATGTGGTAGTGCATGCCTGCAATCCCAACACTTGGGCACCTGAGGCAGGAGGATCGCTAGTTTGAGGCTACCTCAAGGTACATAGTGAGACCCTGTCTCAACAAAACAACAAAACCAATGTCCTGAAGTGAACATGAAGTGTGACTCACCTTACACCTCTTTCAAAACCTGAGGGGCTCTCAGCACCCTGATCCCATCCCCCACCCCCAGGTTTCACAGGAACCTACTGCGAGGTGGACATCGATGAGTGTCAGAGTAGCCCATGTGTCAATGGTGGTGTCTGCAAGGACCGGGTCAATGGCTTCAGTTGTTCCTGCCCTTCAGGTGAGGACTCTGGGACAGAACCTCAAAAAGACCATGTTAACAAATACAAGTCAGGTTATGACAACATTGACAAATTTTTAATTATTTTTGTGTGTGGTGGTGGGTATGGAGGTCAGAGGACAACTTGGAGTTGGTTCTCTCTTTCCACCATGTGGGTCTTGAGGATCAGAACTCAGGTCGTCAAACATGATGGCAAGTTCCTTTACTCACAGAGCCATCTTACCAGTTAGACATCAGTAACATTAATTTAAAACCAAGCAAATGGGGTTTCTCACCCAATAAGGCAGGGCTTTTGCTTTGACCATTTAGGTCACCTTTCATCCTCTCCCCACCTCCAGGCTTCAGCGGGTCCACGTGTCAGCTGGATGTGGATGAATGTGCAAGCACACCTTGCCAGAATGGTGCCAAGTGTGTGGACCAACCAGATGGCTACGAGTGTCGCTGTGCAGAGGGTGAGGGTGGGCTGTGAGATTGCGGCAAGAACCTGGAAGTGGGACTAACTGGGGGAGAGGACCAATAATGGATTTAGGGAGAGCCTGGGAGCAGGGTTTCTGCAAGGCAAGACCAAGGTAGGACCAGAGACCACTCTTGACGTAGGTAGGTAGGGGCGGGACTAAGGGGCCTGGCTGGCAGGATGCTGCTGGCAACCGGATATAATAGTGGGGGGTAGGACTGTAGGCCAGGGGCGGAGCTTGGAACTGGATGGAAACGAGGGGAGCTCGGGGCGGGGCCTGGGAGCTGAGCTAGGTTTTCTCCACTTGCCTTTGGTAAGTGGGTGGAGCCTGACTTTTTGCTTTGCAGGATTTGAAGGCACCTTGTGTGAGCGCAACGTCGACGACTGCTCCCCGGACCCCTGCCATCATGGGCGCTGTGTGGATGGTATCGCCAGCTTCTCCTGTGCTTGTGCCTCAGGCTACACAGGCACTCGCTGCGAGAGCCAGGTGGATGAGTGCCGTAGCCAGCCCTGCCGCCACGGGGGCAAATGCCTAGACCTGGTGGACAAATATCTCTGCCGCTGTCCTCCAGGAACCACAGGTGGGGCCTGGAGCTAAGCTGTGGCGGGAGCAGGGTGTGTGTGGGTGCCCATAGTGGGTCTGGGATTCCCTGCTACTCCCTGCCGTCTTCCTCTGCCCCCAGGTGTGAACTGTGAAGTCAACATTGATGACTGTGCCAGCAACCCCTGCACCTTTGGGGTCTGCCGCGATGGCATCAACCGCTATGATTGTGTCTGCCAGCCTGGCTTTACAGGTGGGCAAGTGGCTACCATGGAGACACAGGGTCTTGTAGGATGAGGGTTAAATCCCCTGTTTACCCCGCTTTAAAAAATTATTTTATTTATTCAAATATTATTTTTATTTATTTATTTATTTATTTGTGTGTGTGTATGTGTGTACACGTGTGCGCGCGTGTTAGAGGATAGCTTGTCAGAGTCAGTCTTTCCACCATGTAAGGTCCTAGGGATCAAACTCAGGTTGTCAGGCTTGGTGGCAGGCACCTTTACCAGCTGAACCATCTTGCTGGCCCTTTCTCCCCCTTTTTTGGGTTCACATGTTCAAAGAGATTGTCCAAGGCCAGACGTGGTGGTGTATGCCTGTAACCCCAACACTCAGAAGACAGAGGCAGAAGGATTGCTGCAAATTTGAGGCCAGCCTGAGCCACATAGTGAGTGCTAGTCAGCGGTGGTGTATGTGTGTATCACCAACACACAGAAGAGAGAGAGAGAGAGATAGTGCCAAATTTGAGGCCAGCCTGTGACACATATAGAGTGTGAGTCAGCGAGGACTACAGAGAGAGAGAGAGAGAGAGAGAGAGAGAGAGAGAGAGAGAGAAGAGAAAGGGAGGAAAGGAGAAGGGAGGGGAAGAAGAAAAAGAAGTGGAGAGGAGTGGAGAGAGAGGAGAGAGAAGACAGAAAGAGAGGGATGGAGGGAGGAAGAGCAAGTATGTGAGCGTGAATGAGCCAGTCAGCACATTGTGGGCTTTCTCACTGGTATGGGTTGTCTCTTGTTAGTAGGATAAGGTATTCACACTGGTAATGCTCTGAAGTGGAACAAGGTGTTCTCCCTTCCCCAAATGGAGCTACTGTCTTTGTTTTGGGACAAGGTTGCCTGTGTGTTTCCCAGGGCCCCTCTGCAATGTGGAGATCAACGAGTGTGTGTCCAGCCCTTGCAGAGAGGGTGGATCCTGTGTGGATGGGGAAAATGGCTTCCGCTGCCTCTGCCCACCAGGCTTTCTGCCTCCGCTCTGCCTCCCTCCAAACCATCCCTGTGCCCATGAGCCCTGCAGTCACGGTGTCTGTCATGATGCACCCAGCGGGTAAGGCTCCTCCCCAACTCCTGAGCCTTTTGCTGTCTCTCTGGCTACCTGCCATGCCTGACTGCCTCCCCCACCAGGTTCCGCTGTGTGTGTGAGTCTGGTTGGAGTGGCCCTCGATGCAGCCAGAGTCTGGTTCCAGATGCCTGTGAGTCCCAGCCCTGCCAGGCTGGTGGCACTTGCACCAGTGATGGAGTAGGCTTTCACTGCACCTGTCCACCTGGAGTCCAGGGTGTGTATTCCCATCTTCCTCCCCAGGTCCTCTGATACCCTGGTCCTTCGATTTCCTTTCTAGTCTGCATTCTTTTTTATTTTTTAAACTTTTTCTTAGCCACTTTTTAAAAAAAAGTTTTTTTCTATGTGTCTTGTGAGTGTATATGTTTGTGTGTGTGTGTGTGTGTGTGTGTGTGTGTGTGTGTGTGTTGGGGGTTACACCTGGTTGTGCCTGTGTGTGAAGGCCACAAGAGGACCTTGGTGACCTCTGTCACTCTCTGCCTATTCCTTTGAGGCAGGGTCTCTTCTTGAACCTGGGACTCATGTTTTCTTAGCTAGGTTGGAAGCTAGGAAGCCCTGGTGATCCTCTTTCTCCTCCCCACTTGCACTTAGGGTTACAGTTTGTTTTGTGGATGCTGGGATCTGAGCTCTGGTTCTCATGATTGGACGACGAGTGCTCTTAACTGCTGAACCATCTCTGCAGCCCCTCTACTTTCTTTCATTCTCTGTCTCTGTCTCTCTTCCTCTTCTCCTTTCTTCCTCTTTTTCTCCTTTTCTTCCTTCTTCTCTTCCTCCTCCTCCTCTTTTTCCTTCTTCTCTCTTTCCCTCAAGGAAGTGGATCTCAGGGATGGGGAAGATGAGGGCAGGGAGTCCTTTAAGACTATTTCTCTGCCTGCCCCCTACAGGTCGACAGTGCGAGGTACTGTCCCCCTGCACTCCAAACTTCTGTGAGCATGGGGGCCACTGCGAGTCTGACCCTGGCCAACTGACTATCTGCTCCTGTCCCCTAGGCTGGCAAGGTACACCAACTACCTTTCCTCCTCATTCTTCTCATCCTCCTCCCCCTCCTCTTCCTCTTTTCTTTTTTACTTTTTTGAGACAGGGTCTCCCTGTAACCCCAACTGGCCTGGAACTTGCTATGTAGACCAGGTTGGCCTCTGCTTCCCAAGTGCTAGGGATAAAGGAATGTGCCACCACACCTGGCTGTTACTGCTGCTGTTCTTCCTCCTTCTCTCCTCCTCTGTACCTTGCCCCATAGTGGGTGATGTTGGGGAGCCCAGAAGGTCTTCATCCATACTTTCCCTTCATTCTGAGAAAGGACAAAACTGGACTTGGACATTCATAGCCCATGTGAGTTAGCCCAGGACGAGAGGAGCCTATGCAGCTTGAGGATGATGGAACTCCTGAGGTTTCATTATGGGTTTCTGAAGGGCCAACCTTAGAGTGTGTATTTTCCAGCTACAGAGACTGGCAGAAGGAAGCTTGGGAGTAGCTGTTTGTCCTTGCCTTTCGTTTCAGCCTGCAGGTCCCCCTTGAGCTGCAGGAACCCGCAGGCCATATCTCATACCCTGTAATCTTAGTTACTTTGTCCCCCTACCCCCAGGCTCACGATGCCAGCAGGATGTGGATGAGTGTGCCGGCCCCTCACCCTGTGGCCCCCGTGGTACCTGCACCAACCTACCCGGGAGCTTCAGGTGCACCTGCCATGGGGGCTACACTGGCCCTTCCTGTGATCAGGACATCGATGACTGTGAACCCAGTGAGTGCAGGGGAGTTTTTGGGGTGCTTCCCTGGGGAATCTACCCATTGAGTCACACTGTGTGCCTGGCACTGTTCATATTCTCACAGTTATGTTACTTTCCTTATTTCCTTATTTCCTATGGAAACTGGAGCCCAAGGTGATGAAGCCGTTGACCAAGGCTATTAGGGGGTGAGCTGAGCTTAGAGCACAGGTCTCTGACTCTGACCACAAGTAAATTAGGATTATGTATAAAGAATGAGATAATGGCACCTAGTGTGGTCTGGGGATGTAGCTCAGATATAGAGAACTTGCCTAGCATGCATGAGGGTCTGGGTTCCATCCCCAGCACTACTAACTAAATAAAAAATTGGCTGGCAAGATTGCTCAGTGGGTAGAGGCATTTGCCTCTAAGCCTGATGACCTGAGTTTGATCCCCAGGTCCCTCATGTTGAAAGAGGGTTAACACCTGAACATTGTCCTCTGACCTCCACACATGGGCACACACACACACACACACACACACACACACACACAATAAATGTAAAAAAGAAAAAAGTATAATATGGGACTGGAGAGATGGCTCAGTGGTTAAGAGCACTTGCTGCTCTTGCAGAGGACCTAGGTTCCGTTCCCAGCACCCACATGACCACTAACAACCATCCATAACTCCAGTACCCTCTTCTGTCATCTGTGGGCATTGCACAACAAGGGTGCACTTACATGCATACAGGTAATACACTCATACACATAAAATAATAAATAATAAATATTTTAAAAAAGAAATGGATAATACAAAATTTAATAAATTTCAATTTAATAATGTGTTTTATTGGGCTGGTAAGATGGCTCATCAGATAAGAGCACTTGCCACCAAGACTGAAGACTTGAGTTTGTTCTTACAAGTTATCTTTTTTTTTTTTTTCTTTTGGTCTTTTTGAAGTAGGGTCTCCCTGTGGCCCCAGCTGTCCTGGAACTCACTATGTAGACCAGGCTGGCCTTGAACTCACAGAGATCCGCCTGCCTCTGCCTCCCAAGTGCTGGGACTACAGGCATGCGCCACCGTGCCCGGCCATGTTCTTGCAAGTTATCTTTTGACCTCCACGTATACACTATGGTGTGTGTACACACACACACACACACACACACACACACACACACACACACAAATTTTTAAAAATGTGATAGGGCTGTGGCTCAGTGGATAAATACGTTTGCTGCTAAGCCTGACAACTTGAGTTCAGTCCCAGGATCCCACATGGGGTGGAAAGAGAGAACTGACACCTGAGAAACTTATCTCTGACTTCCACATACAATCCATAGAGAGTGCACACACACTAAACAATAAAAAAGTAATAAAAAAGTTAAATAATATATTTTGCTCAATCCAATATAGAAAATATTTTCATTTCAACATGTAAGCCTTCAAAATTTGAATTCTGGGAAATGTATTTTACTTTTGCAGCTTATCTTGATTTGGACCAGCAGTAATGCCAAGGACACACTGACCATAAATGGCTAGTGGTGGCTACACTGACCAGCACAGGCCTGTGTTGAGCCCACAGATCAGAGCAGGTAGAGCAGTACATGTTCCTTGGTGTTATGAGGTTGGCGCCACAGCCCCCACAGATATCAGAGTCTGTGGGTGCTCAAGTTTCTTACTGTAAAATGGCTTAGTATTTGTAAAAACCCGTGAACACCCTCATAGACTTTATGTCATCTTTAGATGACTTATTTTTTATTAAAAAATTTATTCTTATTTTATGTGTATGAGTGTTTTGCCTACATGTATAAAAGTACACCTGTGTTGAGCAGTGACTGTGGAGGCCAGAAGAGGGCATCAAAGCCCCTGGAACTGGAGTTATGGACAGTTTTTAGACATCTTATGGGTGCTGGGAACTGAACCCAGGTCCTCTGCAAGAACAGCAATGCTCTTAACTGCTGAACCATCTCTCCAGCCCCATATTAAAAATTTCTTAATGTTTATTTATTATGTATGTGAGTATGAGGATGTGTGTGTGCTATGGCATGTGTATGTAGGTCAGAGGGCACCTTGCAGGAGTTCATTCTCTCCTTCTACCATGTGGGTTCTGAGGATTGAACTCAGGTTGTCAGTTTTGTGTGGCAAGTGCCTTTACTGGTTGAACATCTTTCCTACACCTCTAGGTGACTTAAAACACCAAGCACATGTATATGTTTGTTTTACAGTGTTATATAAGGAACAATGATAAGAAAAAAGGTCCATACTTGTTCAGTGGAAACATGATCTCTATTTTTCAGTATTTTTCACCTGCTGGTTGAATCTACAGATTATGAACCCCAGGTAGGGCCAGCTATATAGCTTAAAGGGGCTTTTATTAAGCACTTTTTTTTTACAGGACAGACGTGCCTTTAATCCCAGCACTCAGGAGGCAGAGGTAGGCAGATCTCTGTGAGTTTGAGGCCAGCCTGGTCTATGTATTGAGTTCTAGGCCAGTCAGGGTTTTATAGTGAGACCCTGTCTTAAAAATTTGTGTGTGGGGGCATTTCTTTATTTATTCTTTGTGTAGATGAGAGCGAGACAGAGACAGAGACATAGAGAGAGACAGAAAGAGAGACAGAGACAGAGAGACAGAGACAGAAGACAGAATTGTGGAAGTCAGAGGACAACTTGTGGGAGTCAGTTATCTCTTCCACCCACCATATGGATTTCAGGGGTCAAACTCAGGTTGTCAGATTTGGACACATGTGCTTTTTACCAACTGAGCCATCTTGCCAGCCCCTCAATGATTCTTTAAGGTTTCCCCAAAGCTTTCTTCCACATAGGTGAGGTTTCCAGATAGCACAAAAGGGGATAGAGTTTGATCTTTGACCAAGAGTATCCCCTCAGGATTAAACTTGCCTTCCCGAGTTCCTCTCTTGTAAGGCATGGCTAGGGCAGGCTGATGGGGGACAAGGAAAGTGACCAGTCTTCCTCCCTGTTGACTGCAGACCCATGCCTCAATGGTGGTTCCTGTCAGGACAGCGTGGGTTCCTTTTCCTGCTCTTGCCTTCCTGGCTTTGCTGGTCCACGCTGCGCTCGAGATGTGGATGAGTGTTTGAGCAGCCCTTGTGGCCCAGGCACCTGCATAGATCACGTGGCCTCCTTCACCTGTACCTGTCCACCTGGCTATGGAGGCTTCCACTGTGAGAAGGACCTGTTGGACTGTAGCCCCAGGTTGTTGGAGCCTAGACTGGAAACCTGGGGGGGTGGTCTGTGATGGAGTTGGGAATTGAGGGCATCTTAGTCTTGGCATCTGTCTGGGGACTCTTGATGATGATGATGGGGCATGTCTGAGGACAGGGCAAAGGTGTTTGGAGGTCACAGATGCTGGTCTTTGAGGCACTTAGACTGGGCCAGGCCTATAGGTGAATTGGGGCTAAGGGACCAGGTGTGTTCTATCCAGGGTGGCAACTTTCTGAGGGGAGTAAGGGACAGAAATTGGGAAGAACAAAATTCTTGGTGGAATGGAGTAGCCTTTAAGATGTGAGGGCTGATCCTCTTGGTCTTTTCTCCTCAGCTCCTGCTTCAATGGAGGTACCTGTGTGGATGGGGTGAACTCCTTCAGCTGCTTGTGCCGTGCTGGCTACACGGGCACCCACTGCCAATATGAGGCTGACTCCTGCCTTTCCCGGCCCTGTTTGCATGGGGGCATCTGCAGTCCCACCCACTTAGGGTTTCAGTGTGCCTGCCGGGAGGGCTTCACTGGGAGTCAGTGCCAGGTGGGTTGATTTGCAGATCTCAGGAGAAGAGTGTCAAAGTCACATGGGGCATCCTGAAGGGAAAAGCGTTTTCCATTTCTAGGGTCTTCCCCAGTACTGACACTGAGGATTTCCTTTGTAGACCCTGGTAGACTGGTGCAGCCAGGTGCCCTGTCAGAATGGGGGTCATTGTGTCCAGACTGGGGCCTACTGTGTCTGTCCCCTGGGATGGAGCGGCCGCCACTGTGACATCCAAAGCTTACCCTGCAAGGAGGCTGCATCCCAGATGGGTGAGAGGAATCATGTGGCTGGGTGTGTGAGGCTATTGGGTGGTGTGTGAGTGCATACCTCCTGTTAGTATAAGTCCAATGAGGGTGCCCCGGACATGAGGACTTAATGGGGTATGTAGTTCAGTGTGTGATTGTGGGACGGCCAGCCAGGATGGTGTTTGCATCTGTGAGACAGTTGGAAAGGGAGTATATGACCAAGCTGGTATGAGCATCAAAACTGTATACATGTTGTGGAAGAGACCATGACAGCTCACAAGTTGCCTGTCAATCCTTTGGATCGTGGGTGAGACCCTAGGGACTGATGCCAGCAGGAATGTTGGATGTATTTGTGTGATGTGGGCAGGAAAAGGGAGGGGTACATGGCCACCTCTGCCTGACTCCACTTTCCTCCTCTCAGGGGTGCAGTTGTCACAGCTGTGTCAGGCAGGTGGGGAGTGTGTAGATGACAACCACTCCCATTACTGTGTGTGCCCAGAGGGCCGTGCCGGCAGTCACTGTGAACAGGAGGTGGACCCCTGTGCAGCCCAGCCCTGCCAGCATGGGGGTACCTGCCGTGGCTACATGGGGGGCTATGTGTGTGAGGTAAGTGTACATCCCAGGGAGAGAGAAGAGGAGCTAGTCATTCCTGGGTGTGTTTCTTTGTGTTCGTGGCCTGACATGGGCATCTCTTTCTAAGTGTGTCTGTTTTTTTTTTTTTGTTTTTTGTTTTTGGTGGGGACAGGGATTCGTCATGTGTGCTATGTAAGCACCTTCTCACTGAACTTCATCCCACACCCTGCTTGTCTCTTCTTGACTTCTTGATTTTTTTTCTCTCTCTTTCTCTCTTCCTTCCTTTCTCCTTTCTTCTTCCTTCCCTCCATTCCCTCCCTCCCTGCCTCCCCCTTCTTTCTTTCTCCCTCCTTCCTTCCTTCCTTCCTTCCTTCCTCCCTCCCTCCCTCCTTCTTTCCTTTCTTCTTCCTTCCTGCCTTCCCCCTCCTTCCTTCCTTTCTTTCTTTCTTTCTTTCTTTCTTTCTTTCTTTCTTTCTTTCTTTCTTCTTTCTTTCTTCTTTCTTTTTGAGATAGGTCTCACTATGGTCCTGGCTGGTCTGAAACTCACTATGTAGTCACCATGCAGACCAAGCTGGCTTTTGAATTCAGAGATCCACCTGCTTCTGCCCTCCTGAGTGCTAGGATTAAAGGTTACCATGTCTAGCTATCTTTTTCTTATGAGTGTATATGTGTGCTGTATGTCTATGTGTGCATATAGGTGCATACACAGAGGCCAGAGGAGGAAGTCAAGTGTCCTGCTCCATCACTCTACCTGTTCTGAGACAGTCTCTCACTATACCTGAAGTTAGGCTGGCGGCCAGCAAGCCCCAGCAATCCTCGTGTCCCCACCCAGTGAATTTCTTTCTTGCTCCAATTTAGTGTCCAGTGGGTTATTCTGGTGACAGTTGTGAGGATGATGTAGATGAGTGTGCCTCCCAGCCCTGCCAGCATGGGGGTTCCTGTATTGACCTTGTGGCCCGCTATCTCTGTTCCTGTCCTCCTGGGACACTAGGTATGTAAAAGCCAGAGTTGGGGGACAGGATAAGAGGCTGAGTCTCCAACCTCTACTGATTGCTCTCCCATCCCCAGGTGTACTCTGTGAGATCAACGAGGATGACTGTGGTCCATCCTTGGACTTGGGCTTCCGGTGCCTACACAATGGCACCTGTGTGGATCTGGTGGGTGGTTTCCGCTGTAACTGTCCCTCAGGATACACAGGTCTGCATTGCGAGGCAGATATCAATGAGTGTCGCCCAGGTGTCTGCCATGCAGCACATACCCGGGACTGCCTGCAAGATCCAGGCGGACACTTTCATTGCCTCTGTCATCCTGGCTTCACAGGTAAGCATGACAGTTAGGCACAGAAACCCCACCTGCCCTTCCTCCATTGTGGTTGACCCATCTACTCCTGCTTGTCCAGGCCCCCGCTGCCAAACTGCCCTGTCTCCTTGTGAGTCCCAGCCATGCCAGCATGGAGGGCAGTGCCGTCCCAACCCAGGCCCTGGAGGTGGGTTGACCTTCACCTGCCACTGTGCCCAGGTAGGTGTGAGTGGCAGGGGTGGATGCCCCTGGGGGATGAGTGAGGAGTGGCCTCAGGTTAAGGTATGATTTGTGGTATGAGAAGTGGAAGTGAAGACTTTAGGGAGATGCTCAATTGTGGGTTCTTGAAGTTGGGGCTTGGCTGAACTGCCTCCTGGACGTGGGTGAGGGTGGGTGGAGGGTGGGGTGGGTACAGTGAGGCCTACAGAGGAAAGGGGAGGTGGCTAGACCTGGAGGTTGGGGAGGGAGGGTCACCATTTCTGAAGTCTTTTCCCTCTCTTGACTCCCTGTTTCTTTTTTCTTCTCACCTGCCACCATTTTCCTCTCTCCCCTCCCTCACCCATCACCAGCCGTTCTGGGGGCCCCGTTGTGAGCGTGTAGCACGCTCCTGTCGAGAGCTGCAGTGTCCCGTGGGTGTCCCATGCCAGCAGACTGTCCGTGGGCCGCGTTGTGCCTGTCCTCCGGGGCTGTCGGGGCCCTCTTGCCGAGTCTCCAGGGCGTCACCCTCTGGAAACACTAACGTCAGCTGCACAGCTGCCCCCTGTCTGCATGGGGCCTCGTGCCTCCCTACTCAGATCGCCCCCTTCTTCCGCTGTGCGTGCACTCTGGGCTGGACTGGCCCGCGTTGCGAAACCCCTTTAGCTGCTCGCGAGGTTTACGAGGAGCCGAGGTGCCCGCGAGCCGCCTGCCAGGCCAAGCGTGGGGACCAGCATTGCGACCGGGAGTGCAACAGCCCTGGCTGTGGCTGGGACGGGGGCGACTGTTCGCTGAACGTGGGCGATCCTTGGCGGCAGTGTGAGGCGCTGCAGTGCTGGCGTCTCTTCAACAACAGCCGATGCGACCCTGCTTGCAGCTCTCCGGCCTGCCTCTACGACAACTTCGACTGCTACACCAGTGGCCATGACCGGACTTGCAAGTGAGCATACCCCTTCCCCTCTCCGCCCCTCTGTCATCTGTATTCTGCACCTACCAGTGAGCCACATCTGGCCCTTCATGAGCCCGGTGGGCCTGCCTGTCAGTTCATTCTTGGACTGTCTGTTGGGCTATCCCTTCATTTTTCACACATTGACCATCAAGACACATCTACCTGTGACCCTTTCTCTACCAGAGTGCCTCATCTTTGTCCTGTGGTATTTTCATACACATCTTGCCAGTTTGCTTCTGTCTGCCTGCAGTCACAAATTCCATCTGTCTTTATATCATGTCTTTTAAGTTTTTAAGAAATATTTTATTGATCTGGGCCTGATGGTGCACACCTTTAATCCCAGCACTCGGGAGGCAGAGGCAGGTGAATTCAAGGTCAGCCTGGTCTACATAGCGAGTTCCAGGCCAGCTGGGGCTATAGGGAGACCCTGTCTCAAAAAGACAAAAAATAAAAATATTTTATTTATTTTTTATGTATATTTTTATGTGTCCCTATATGAGTTCATGTGTACCATATGCTTGAAGGAGCTCTCAGAGGCCAGAAGAGTGGTTAGAGCCCCTGGAACTTGCGTTAGGCAGTTGTTAGCTAACATGTGGGTGCTGAGAACTGACCTCAGGTCCTCTGCAAGAGCATTAAGCTCTCTTAACACCAAGACATCTTTCCAGCCCCTGATTTTTTTTTTTAAAGATATATCTACTTATTTATTATGTGTGTGTGTGTGTGTGTGTGTGTGTGTGCACTCACATATGGAGGGCAGAGGACTATTTGCAGGAGTCAGTTCTCTTCCATGTGGGTCCTAGCTATCTGTTTGCACTCACTAGTCCATTTAGTACACCCATCTTTCTGTATGCTAGTCTGTTCTGTGTGTGCCATCTGTCTGCCCATCTTTGTGTCCTACCTGTTCATCTATGTGTCCTTTCTCACCAGCCTTCTGTCCCATGGACCTCTGTGTCATCTGTATGTCTTTCTGTCTTCCTGTGCCCCTGCCTGTCTATCTTCGCCCCTTGTCTCTTTCTGTCCCATGTGTGCCTTACCCTTACTCCTCATTCTTGTGCGTTTCAGCCTTCCTGTTTGTTACCAGAGTTCCCTTAGGGGCCCTTGCTCTTGGTGCTATTAGACAGACCATATAACACATCTTTATCTGAATTTTTCATAGTTTATATCCTGGGTAGGGGAAATAGAGTAACTCACAAAGGCGAACACCGGGGCCCCACACTGACACCCTGTTCCACTCTGTGGCTCCCCCCCCCCCCCCCCACTGCTCACTGCTAGCTTCCAAGATAGTGACAACGCTCCTCCCTCCATGCCTAACTCTCCTCAGCCAATTCTCTGCAGCAGGCCCCACCCCTGGGAGGAAAATGTACCCCTTGAGACACACCATTGCTCACTGTACTCATTACCCTGGCCTCTGCCATGCTTCACACATCCCTCCCTGGCCTCCCCCACCTCAGGACCTTTGCTTCAGCTGCTCCTTCTGTCTAAACTGCTCTTCCCCTGAGAAGCCACAGGGCTCCTCTTACCTCCTTCAAGCCTTTGCTCAGTGTTGTCTGCCTGTGAGCTACTCCTAGGTGTCCTAGCAATTCCTTTGCTTTCATTTTCTTTCTAGTATTTAGTTCCATGTTTCTATTTTATTTTATTATTTTATTTTATTTTATTTTACGTGTGTACTTCCTGTGTGTAGGTAAGTACACCCATGTTGTGCAATGCCTGCAAAGAACAGAAGAGGCTGTCAGATCCCCTGGAACTGGAGTTACGGACAGTTGTTAGCTGCCATGTGGGTGCTGGGATTTGAACCCGGTCTTCTGCAAGAACAGTTAGTGTTCTTACCACTGAGCCATCTCTCCAGTCCCCCCATGTTTCTTTTTACCTTGTGTTGGCATCTAGTTGGACTGCTGTATATTCTACATAGTCATCTCCTATGACGTCTTTCTCCACCCACTGGAATGCCAGTTTCTCTTGGACTAGGATTTGTGGGCAGTATCTTGATGCCTATGGCAGCACGCAGCACATACTCAGTTAATAGTTGATATATTGATACCAGTTGAGCATCCCTAATCCAAAACCTGAAGCACCAAAGTTTGTGGAGCATGGGCAATGGGCGTGATGCCACAGTGGAAAATTTTACCCTTCACCTCATGTGACAAGTTGCAGTCAAAATTCAGGCACAGGTTGGGATGTCGCTCAGTGGCAGAGCACCTGCCTAGATGCAGGAAGCCCTAGGTTCACACACTAAAAATGTATGAGATGATTTTTGGGCCATGTGTGTATGGTTCAAATAAAAGGTAAATGAATTTTGTATTTAGACTTGGCCCTCATCACTAAGCTGTCTTATATAAATCAGGTATAGAAGGCTGGGGATGTAGCTCAGTTGGTAGAGTACTTGCCTAACTGTGAGTGGTGGTGCCTGTCTGTAATCCCAGCACTCAGAAGGTGAAGGCAGGCAGATCAGAATTCAAGGTCACCTCTACTGCATAGGAATTTTTTTTTTAAAAAAATGTGTATTTGTGTGTGTTTGTGGGTGGGTATATGCATATACCCACAGAAATGCAGAAGTGTTGGATCCCCCTTGAACTGGAGTTACAAGCAGTTGTGAGCTTCTCAACTTGGGTGCTGGGAATTGAACTTGAGACATCAATCAACAAGAGCATTAAAAATGCTCACTGAGCCATTGCTCCAGTCCCTGGTTTGTTTGTTTTAAAGACAGGGTCTGACCTTTTAATTCTGGCTGTCCTGGAACTGGCTATATAGACCAGGATGGCCTCAAACTCACAGAGAACGGCCTGCCCCTGCCTCTCAAGTGCTGGGATTAAATGTGAGCACCACCAGGCTTGGTTTACATAGGAAGTTTGGGGACTCTATCTAAAAAAAAAATTATATGTATAATTATGTATAGATAGATATCTCATTGCCTATACATGTATATATAATATTTAAACATATGCAGATATTCAAGAACTCAAAGAAATTTGAATTCTGAAACACCGTAGTCCCAAGTATTTCAGATAAGGCATATCACACCCTGTGTTTATGCAGCCAGAAAGTTCGACATGTGTGAGGACATTCTAGCCCCTGTGCCAGCGCTGCCCAGCACTATTCTGTGCTGTGTGCATTTGGGTGGTGGTGGTGGGGGGGTGGGTTCTTGACCTTTTTTTTTTTGCTCTCTCTCTCTCCCCAGCCCGGTGTATGAGAAGTACTGTACGGACCACTTTGCAGATGGCCGTTGTGACCAGGGCTGCAACACGGAGGAGTGTGGCTGGGATGGGCTAGACTGTGCCAGCGAGGTCCCTGCCCTTCTGGCTCGCGGTGTGCTGGTCCTCACGGTTCTCCTGCCTCCGGAAGAGCTGCTGCGCTCCAGTGCCGACTTCCTGCAGCGACTCAGCGCTATTCTGCGCACCTCGCTGCGCTTCCGCTTGGATGCGCGTGGCCAGGCCATGGTTTTCCCCTACCACCGGCCAAATCCTGGCTCCAGGGCCCGGCGTGAGCTGGCTCCAGAGGTGATTGGGTGAGTGACACCATCTTAGGGGAACAGACTGAGCGAGGCCCAGGGCTTGATGGGATGCGCAGGACACCTGATAACCGAGACTGCGTTTCATGCCTCTTAATGTTTTGGAGAACAGTTCTTCGCAGTGTGTCTTCCAGTGACTTTTCCGTGTCGTGTTGGCACCTGGGACTAGAGCGTTCTTTGCTGTGGGGTTTGTTCGGTACACTATAGGGTGCCGCAGCCTAAGACAGCGCCTTCTAGTGTCAACAATGAGAAATGCCTTCAGATGTGAGCAAGTGTCCCTGGGGTGGGGGGTGGGGGATGGGGTGGAGACTGCCGGACAGGAGGTGGGGGACTGATACTGCAGAGTTGCACCTCTGGTCTAGTGCTTCCTCTATCAGGAGAGACAGGTGGTTTAGCAGAACAGTTAAAAGCATCGGGAGCTTTTTATTTTTTTAAAAAGGCACACGCCTTTAATCCCAGCACTCTCCGAGGCAGAGGCAGGCGGATCTCTATGAGTTCAAGGCCAGTCTGGTCTACAGAGGGGCTGGGGCTACAGGGAGACCCTGTCTCAAAAAACAAAAAAAAACAAAAAAAATCCTGATTTTTCAAAAAAAAATTTATTTATTATTGTGTATATGAGGTTTGTGGGTGGGTGTCCAAGTGTCAAGTGCCATGTCATACATGGATGGCATGGTGCATATGTGATGGTTAGAGGACAACTTTGTGGAGTTGGTTCTTTCCTTCCACATTTATGTGGGTTCTAGGGATTGAACTCAAGTTGTCAGGCTTGCACTTTACCCACTAAGCCATTTTGTTGGCCAGGGATTTTATTTTTTACAGGATCTGATCTAGAACTTGCTCTGTAGCCAAGGCTGGCTTGGTACTCATGATCCTCCTACCTCAACCTCCTGAGTGCTGGGATCTCAGGTGGACACCTTTACCTCTGACTCTCTCTCCTCTCTATCTATCTCTATCTCTGTCTGTCTCTTTCTCTGTTAAAGAAATGAAAATTGTATAACTATTCCATTAATGATGTGTAGGAGAGTCAGAAGAGGAACTTGTTGAAGATGGAACAGGGCCTGAGTTTGGGCCCTGATAGAGAGGAGGGCTGGACTTTAGAGATAGTATGGTGTGGCACAGGTTCTGATTTGATGCAGGAGTGGAGGAGGTGGTAAGGTGGTACATGAGCCCTTCATTGATTGGAGTGACTGACTGATGAGGACACATGGTGAAATGGAGCCATTCTGAAGGGCCTGGGGATATAGGGAGGAACCCCAGAAGATGGCTGGGAGCTGAAGCTAGACAAAAGACAAAAGAGTGTGGAAATCATTGGAGGAGAAGAAGGAGTCTCAAGGAAGTGGGAGAGAAGGAAATGAAGAATGAATCTAGGATGCTGAGACCTATGGACAGAGGGACATTAGAGCTTTTGGCTCAGTGGTAGAGTGTCTGCCTAGCCTGTGGGAGGCCCCGAGTTCCATCTCCAGCACTGAAAGGGCAAGGGGGAAGCCAGCTCTCAGAGAAGCTGGGGTATGGAGCACTGTCCCAGCAAAAGGCTGCACCCCAACCGTTTCCACTAGGGTGGATAAGGAAAGGTACTATTAGATGCACAGCTCTGGGTCACTGGTGGCCACAGCAAGACCTATTGGGAGAGGCAGTGGGGTTGGATTGGATACCAGCTGGGAGTTGTGTGGTGGTGGAGATGTGGAGAACAGAGATCACTCTCTGAAACTGACTCTGGAGAATGAAGTTTGGTGTCTGGGAGGCTTTAGATAACCTTTAAGCCTTTGCATCTCTCTGCTCTGTCTCCACAGCTCTGTAGTGATGCTGGAGATTGACAACAGGCTCTGTCTGCAGTCACCTGAGAATGACCACTGCTTCCCCGATGCCCAGAGTGCTGCTGATTACCTGGGAGCCTTGTCAGCAGTGGAGCGCCTCGATTTCCCATACCCACTTCGGGATGTGCGAGGTGAGGTGGGATGGGGAGGGTGAGGAGTGGGATGCACAGAGGATGGTTGAATTCTTGAAGCCCTGTGAGTGGGTGAAGCCAGATCTGGTGACTGAAGCCTAGCCTGATGACTAGAGCCCTGCCGAATAGCTAAGCCCCACTCCATGGCTAAATGTCACTCACAATTAAAACCTGACCTCTAGCCCTGCCCCATGGCTAAATCTCACCCAAAGCTGAAGCCCCACCACATGGCTATGTGCCAGCCATGATGGTATCAGGCCCAGTGGTTTCCAGCCTATCCCTTGTTTGAAGCCCCACTCCATGACTGGAAGCACACCCTGTAATTGAACCCCATCCATGACTGAAACCTCACTCACTTCTTGGTTGTAGCCCTGCCACTTGGCTGAGGCCTTCCTGCTGCTTCCTTCCACAGGGGAGCCCCTGGAGCCTCCAGAGCAGAGCGTGCCGCTGCTGCCACTGCTGGTGGCAGGTGCCATCTTCCTGCTGGTCATCCTTGTCCTGGGCGTCATGGTAGCCCGCCGCAAGCGCGAGCATAGCACCCTCTGGTTCCCCGAGGGTTTTGCATTGCACAAGGACATAGCAGCAGCCCACAAGGGCCGGAGGGAGCCTGTGGGACAAGATGCATTGGGCATGAAGTGAGGACCCTGTTTGCTCCCTGTCTCCAAATATGGGAGCTTTGCAAGCCCTGGATCCCACTTTGTCTTACTGTGACCACTGACCCCAATCTGACCTTAACTTCAGACTTCATCTGGGACCTCAGTTCATTTCATCCTCTTCCTCACTGACTCTGTGATCCCTGGAGAGCTTCCTGATTCCTGACCTCTGACTATTTCCTATGCATTCATTTCCTGACCCCATCCTGGGCTGGTCTCTCATGACTGATGACCTCATGACCGTTGCCAACATCTCAGCTCCTCCCTGACTTGATACCTCTATGATTCCTGTATCAGTCCTCTGACTCATTTCCACCCAACTCAGTGTTCACTCCCCATGATCTTTCACATTGGACCTCACCTCCAACCTGACTTACCCCTCAAAACCTACAACCCTGTTCTGATTTTAACCCTTCCCTATGGTTCTATGACCCCTCACCATGACCTTTTGAATCCTGGATGCTCATCATAAGTCTAGCTCCACCCTCCATAACCTTTGATATCACCCTCTAACCCCTATTGTTTGCCTATGAGCCTCATTTATCCATGTCCCATTCAGTGTGTGACCTCTGACCCTGGGTCCACCTTAAGATTCTGGCTGTCTGGGGCTGGAGATGCAGCTCAGTAGTTAAAACCAGAACCCAGGTAAATGCCAGGTGGGTGTGGTGGCCTGCCTATAACTACAGCCTTGGAAGGTGGAGACAGGATCCCCAGAACAAGCTGGCTAGATAAACTGGCCATACCAGAGCCCCTGCCTCAATGAATAAGGTGAAAGAGTCATTGAGGATGATTCCCAACATCAACCTTGGCCCTCCACGTTCATGCATGCCCAGGTATATATGCATATACACACAGACAAAATGTGGGCTTGCACGCATACACACACACACACACACACACACACACACACACACACACATGGAAAAAAACGTTCTGGTTGCTGCCTGATGTAATCCTTGTGACTTTGTCTCCATACTTTCATTCCTCACTGAAACCTAAATCTTGACCGTCCTACACCAACTGACCCAAGACCCTATCCAAGTGCAGACCCTGACCTGCCTCTATGACCTCTGCTCAAACCCCACCCCACGTCCTCCGACCAGGCCAGATCCCTTACTATACGTTCTCACACCCTTTTCTTCCTGTTCCCCCAAGGAGCATGGCCAAGGGCGAGAATCTGATGGGGGAGGTGGCCACAGACTGGATGGACACGGAGTGCCCTGAGGCCAAGCGACTGAAGGTGCTGCCCCCTCCCCTAACTCCTTCCCTTAGGGTCCCAGGTGGGGATCCCCTAGTCAGTGGGAGAGCCCAGGGAAGACTCTGTACTCACTGTCCACACAGTTCCAGACAGTTGTTGCTGCAGTTTGATCCCCCTTTGTTCCTCAGTGTGGCTCTGTAGCTTGTAGGAGAGAAGGAAATTTACTGTGGGTGGGCAAGAATCCCATCCTCCCTCTGTTTTTTTCTCATATAGGTTCCTGCTCCTTGACTAGACCAGCTCAGGGTTATTCTAGAGGGAACAACCTGGCCTCCACAGTGACTGCTTTTTCTGTTCTTTGACATGTGTGCCCAGCCTGAAAGTGTCCCAGTTGGTCCTGAGCACTCTTTATCCCCAGGAACCACACCATTGTGCTGTGTCCTCCATTTTCTGTTGCTCTATCAAAATGCCTGAGGTTGGTGCTGGGGAGATGGCTCAGCTGGTAAAGTGCTGAGGTTCTGAATTTGATCCCCAGAACCAACATAAAATAAAAAAGCCAGGCATGGTGGTCATGTGTTTATAATCCTACCTCTGGCAAGGCCAAGACAGGAAGATTCTGAGACAGGGCTGCTGGCTGGTTGGCTAGCAAGTTCCAGACCAGTGAGAGAGCCTGTCTCAAAATAAAGGTGGACAGTGCCTGAGCAATAACATCTGAGGTGGTTCTTTGGCCTCCATACACACGTGTAGCTGCATACACACACATATATACACATTCTATCTGAATGTGATCCTATAAAGAAAAGGGTCTTCCTGCTTCAACCTCTCAAGTAGCTAGGGTTACAGGTGTGTGCCACATCTGTGTTATAGCACCCAGTCTTCATGTTTCACTGGGGATTTGTAATTTCCAGAATCTACACTGCACTTATTTTTTAAATTAATTGTAAATATTTTGTTCTCATTTATATTTACTTTATTTTTATTTATTTAATCTGTGTACAGATATACATAATACAGTATAAGTACGGAGGTCAGAGTACAGCTTGAAGGAGTCAATTTTCTTCCACCATGTGGATCTTGGGGACTGAACTCAGATTGTCAGGCTTGGTGGCAAGTGTCCTTATGTGCTGAGCCATCTTCTTGGCCCTCTTTATTTTTTTGAGACAGAGTCTTTTTAAAAAAAATATTTTATTTATTATTTTTATTTTGTGTGTGTGTGTGTGTGTGTGTGTGTTGTTAAGTGCACCCAGGTCATGCAATGCCCATAGAGGACAGAAGAGGGTATTGCCTGCATGTAGGTAAGTGTACCCGTGTCGTGCAATGCCCGTGGAGGACAGAAGAGGCTTTCAGATCCCCCTGGAACTGGAGTTAGGACAGTTGTTAGCTGCCATGTGGGTGCTGGGACTTGAACCTGGGTCTTCTGCAAGAAAAACCAGTGTTCTTCACCACTGAGCCATCTCACAGAGTCTTAATATGTATTCCAGACTGGCCTTGAACTATTCCTCCCTCTGCCTCGCTTCATGAGTGCTGGGATTACAGGTGTATGCCTCCATGGTATTTTATTTTGTTATTTTTTTATAAAAAGTTATATCTATTTACTATTTTTGTGTGTGTGCATGAGTGTGCATTGTGCCACAGTACCTGTATGGAGATCAGAGGACAACGTGTGAATTGGTTCTCACCTTTCATTGTATGGGTTCCAGGGATTGAACTCAGGGTATCAGGCTTGGCAGCAAGTGCTTTTACCCACTGAATTCTCTCTCTGCCCCCTTTTTGTTAAATTTAATTTGGAATATTTTGTTTTTATTTTAAAAATATTGATCCTTGTGTTTATGTATACATGTTTGTGTGTGAGGGCTGTCCACATGGAGGACCGTGTCTAGCTGTTACATAGGTTCCAGAAATTGGATTCGGGTGGCCAGGCTCTGCAAATTTTTATACACTGAGACCTCTCCCTAGCCCTCTTGTTATTCTTTTAAGACACAGTCTTGATATATGGCCTATGCTGGTTTTGAATTTTCCATCTTCCTGCCTCAGCTTCCCAAGTGCTGGAATTACAGGTGCTACCCAGCCCAGTTGTGTTCAAATATTTTATTTTTGATATTCTTGTTGACAGAATTGCTCTCTGAATTTCATTTTCATAGAGTTTGTGTCTAGTGTGAGAGCTGTCAGGAGCCTCATCTGTGCTCCCCCCTTTTTTTGTATGTCTATCACTTGCTTTGGGTTTCCAGCCTGTCCCTCCTTCCAACACAGATTGAAATCCCATTTCCTCCTCTCTTTAGTTTGCTGAGCTCCAGCACAACCACTTAGCACTTCCTTATCTGTAAGAGAAGTTGTTAACGGTTTCCCACACCTGGGTGCAGTGACATCAGCGATACCTGTGAGAATACCCATAGGTCCCTGGTACTACCAAGGTCAAGAGCCTGCATCTATGTCCTTCCAGGTAGAGGAGCCCAGAGCGGGGGCTGAGGAGCCTGTGGATTGTCGACAGTGGACCCAGCACCATCTGGTTGCTGCAGACATCCGAGTGGCACCAGCCATGGCTCTGACTCCTCCACAGGGTGACGCAGATGCTGATGGCATGGATGTCAATGTCCGTGGCCCTGGTGAGTGTCCCTCCCCCTCACTGGCCCTGCCTATGACAGTTCACATGTGGGGCTGTGTTCTGGGGAGTATCTGGGCTGTGTGTGTGTGTGTGTGTGTGTGTGTGTGTGTGTGTGTGTTAAGCCAGGCTTTAAGCTTTAAAACTACTACTCAAAGTAGATTACCTAAAACAAAGGATACACTGGTATGTAACAACTGGAAGCTGCAAGTGTATTTGGATCTTGGAACTTTTTTTTTTAATGAGGTTGGGATCTCTCTCTCTCTCTCTCTCTCTCTCTCTCTCTCTCTCTCTCTGTCACTCTCTTTGAAACAGTCACATTTATTTGTGTGTGTGTATGTGTGTGAGTGTACATGAACAACTTGCTGAAGGAGTTCTCGCCTTCCACTCTGGGTGACAGGGATCCCATTCAGGTTGTCAGGTTTGGCGGCAGTTTCCAATACCTCCTGAGCCAATCTGTTAGCCCCTGGATCTTTCACCGTCCAGCAAATCTCAGATATTCATTCTTGAGCCAATCAATGTGGTCAGGGGGCTGGAATATGCAGATTACCCAGTGCCAGGATGCGGATTCTGCTCTCAGGGCCTGAGACTGGGGAATGCTTGAAACGGAAGCCAAGGGGAAAAAGCGGTGCCTTCGTGTCCTGCGTGCCCCACTTCTTAGAATCCCTTCTGTGATAAATCAGGCTCCTGATCCCTGGGTGACTTTGCTGGGAGAATTTGCTGTTCTCTCTTGCCTCGCTGTGTGTCCCCATTCCCTCTGACTATCACCTTGGGAGGCTTCTAGGTTGGTGACACCCTCCCGGTCCCTGCAGATGGCTTCACTCCACTTATGCTGGCCTCCTTCTGTGGGGGAGCCCTGGAACCGATGCCCACTGAGGAGGACGAGGCCGATGATGCGTCAGCCAGCATCATATCAGACCTGATCTGCCAGGGAGCCCAGCTTGGGGCACGGACTGACCGCACAGGCGAGACCGCCCTGCACCTGGCTGCCCGCTATGCCCGTGCAGATGCGGCCAAGCGGCTGCTGGATGCTGGGGCAGACACCAATGCTCAGGACCATTCAGGTCGCACCCCTCTTCACACGGCTGTCACTGCTGACGCCCAGGGCGTCTTCCAGGTGAGATAGACCTTCTTCTTTGGACCTCAGAGTCAGCATGGACATCAGAGATACCTGGGTTTGAGCCCTGGTTCTGTCTTGAAGAATTAAAAAAAATATTTTATTTATTATTTTTATTTTATGTGTATGAGTGTATTGCCTGCATGTGTATTAAGTGCGTCTGTGTCATGCAGTGCCCGTGGAGGTCATAAGAGGGCGTTGGATTCCCTGGAATTGGAGTTACATACAGTTGTTACCTGCCATGTCAGTGCTGTGAATTGAACCTGGGTCCTCTGCAAGAGCAGTCAGTGCTCTTAACTGTGGAGCCAACTCTCCAGCCCCCAGAGTTTTGTTTTTATCACCTGGAAAATGGGGATATTTGGAGTACATTGCTTGGCAAGACTAGGTGGTACCAGACCTAGATTTTTTAAAAAGTGTTTTAAAAATTACACTTATTTATCTATCTCTCTGTTTGTTTTTTGTGTGTATGGGTGCATGGGTATCCATGCTACAGTACATGTGTGAAGGTCAGAAGTTAACTTTGGAGAATCAGTTTTCTCCTTCCACCATGTAAGTCCTGGGGATCAAACTTAGGTCATCAGGCTTGGTAGCAAGCCTTTACCTGCTGAGCCATCTCACTGGCCCGTGAGCTTAGATTTTTCTATTTTACAGTGCTGCAGGAGTCTACCCAACAACTGTGTTGTTTTTACTTGCAGTGCAGTATTCAATGAATGGCATGAACTATTCAGTGCTGGTTTTTAAAAGTTTTTTTTTTTTGAGACAATTTGTTGTGTAGCTCAGGTTAGTCTTGAACACATGACCCTCCTGCCTCAGGCTCCCCTAAATGCTGGGATTATACACTACTGTTTCCTGTTTATCTTCAGTCCCCTCCTTGCTGGAGATGGAAGTGCTCTACCCTTGAGTCATGCCCTCAGATTTAATCATACCCTAGGTTTTGTGTTAGCTGATTTGCCTAGCTATGGATTAATATAATTGTTATGAGCATTTTTAAGATGGGCTGGGTAAAGATAGGCCTTTAATCCCAGAATCCAGGAGGCAGAGGCAGGAACAGGTGAATTTTTGTGAGTTCCAGGCCAGCCAGGTCTACATAATGAGTTCCAGGCCAGCCAGGTCTACATAATGAGTTCCAGGCCAGCTAGGGCTACATAGTGAGATCTTGTCTCAAAAAACAAAACAAAACAAATCAAAGATGGATTGGCATAAGATAAGCTGATGCTTGGTATAGGTTAGGTAGGTGTATTGAACCCATTGTTTTTTTCTTTTCATTTTTCTTAGTTTAGCATGTAAAGTGATGGGTTTTATTATGACATTTTAATAATAATGTCATTAATTTTTATTTAAAAAATAATATTTGTATTGATTCATTGGGAATTTCATACAGAATATTTTGATCACATTTAGACTCCCTCCTCTGTCTCCTCTCAGATTCATCCCCATTTCCTCAAGCCCCTTATTTTTTAAACTTAATTGAAACCAAAATTAGCATTATTTAATCAATTAGGAAAATACCAAGTGAAATATTAAATATCAGAAATCATTAAAAATATATAAATATAAAAGAGTTTAAGGAGCAAAAAGTGAGAGAAATGTTTAGTTACTTGTGGGTCCTGGATTGTCATTAGTTGAAGATGAGTTCTATCCAGCATCTCTGAAGTCCACATGGATGAGTTCTCAGGTGAAGTGAACACATGTGAATCTCCTAAGCCCCCTAATTTTAAGGGTTTTTTTTTTGCTTTTTTGTGAGTGTTGGTGTGTGTGTGTGTGTGTGTGCATGTGTGTATGTGTGCCTGCAGAAGCCAGAGGATGCTGTTGGGGTGTCCTGCTGTGTCACCTTACATCTTACTCTTACTGAACCTGAAGCTAGGCTGGTGGTCAGTAAGCCCCAGTGATCCTCCGGTCTCCTCCCCACACATCACTGGGGTTACAGGCACACATGGCCATGCCTGGCTTTTTTCATGGGTGCTTGCATAGCAAGTACTCTTATCCACTGAGCCATCTCCCCAGTCCCCAAAGAGATCATTATTTAATTCAATTTCTAATTAGGATCTTTTTGATTTACTTAGCAGGAATAGCAAGCAATGTAAGTTGGAGTCCTTGGGATAATGCTCATCCTTGGGCTACTGATGTCCTACTGTGTCTTTTTGCTAGATTCTCATCAGAAACCGCTCTACAGACCTGGATGCCCGCATGGCAGATGGCTCCACTGCACTGATCTTGGCGGCCCGCCTGGCGGTGGAGGGCATGGTGGAAGAGCTCATTGCCAGTCATGCTGATGTCAATGCAGTGGATGAGCTGGGTAGGTGCTGAGGAAGTGTTGGGAGGAGCCTTGAGGTTCTGATTGCCCTCTTTGTGTGAACTCACACCAGGCACGTACTTAGAGGCTCCCAGGAGCCTGGAACACCTTATGCAGGGCTGGTGTAGTACTCCAGGTTTAAAAAAAAGTAGCTTCCCAAAGTCATTCCCCTCCCCTCATCCTCTCCTCTTTTTCTTTTCCTATGTCCCTCTCTCTTTTTGGCTCTGTCATCTTTCCTTCTTTCTGTCCCTCTCCCCCTTTCCCTTTCCCTTCCTCTTCTCTCTTTTCTTTCTCCCTCCCTTCCCCCTTTCCTGTTCCTGTCCTGTATAAAACAATGGATTTCATTATATTTTCATCCATGTACTTTTAGAATATTCACACTCGCTTTCACTTTCTCTCTCCTCCCCCTACTCCCTCCCTCCATATAGTCCATCTATACTTTCATGTTGTACTCATGGTTCTCCTCTTTCTATCGGTTTCCAATCCCCCATTCTTTGTGGAGTCTAAATATTAAAAGAAAACATGAAGGACTTGTCTGAGTCTGGCTTATTTCGTTTAACATTATAATCTCTAGTTTCATCATGTTCTTGAAAATGATATTATTCCTTCTCCTTGGGGCTGGAGAGCAGTTAGTACTGCAGGAGCCGTTAGTAGTCTTAACCACTGAGCTATCTCTCTAGCTGCCTCCACCCCCTTTTTTGTTTTAGAGAGAGGGTTTCACATAGTGGAGGCTTATTTTAACCGACTGTGTAACGCACTTGAAATCTTGATCCTCCAGCCTCCATTTCCCAAGTGCTAGAGTTAGGCATGCATCACCACACCCAGCTCAATTTCATTTTGACTGAATAATGCTTCATTGTACACAGCAGTATAAATGCTGTGTTTTCTTTGTTCATCTATTGTTGAGCACCTAGGCTGATGCCATAAGCTGGCTGTGGTGAATAGTGCTGTGAATGCCACAGTAAACACGGCTGTGCAGGTATCTCTATGAATGTTGATTCAGAGTCCTTCCGGCACAGACCCTGAGTGGTATACCTGGACCATAGGCACTTCTGCATTTAGCTTTTTAAAGACCCTCCATAGTGTTTTTATAACGGCTGCACTAATTTACATTCCTACCAATAGTGCATAAGGACCCCTTTCTCCAACATTGTCTGCTTTTATTTTCTTTCTTTCTGTTTCCTTGAAGATGGTTATTCTGGATGAGGTGAGGTAGAATCCTAGTGTAGTTTTGATATGAATTTCGTTTATAGGCTGACTCTGCCTCCTGAGTGCTGGGATTACAGGTGTGTGCCACCACGCTCAATCTTTGAGTATTTTTAAATGTATTTGTTGACCATTTGCACTTCTTTTGAGAACTGTTCAATTAATTTTCTTATTTATTGATTGGATTATTTGTTATTTTGGTGTTAAATATTTTGAGTTCTTATTTATTTTTATTTCCTGTGCTTAAGTATTTTGCCTTTGTGTGAGTACACCTGTGCATGCAATGCCTATGGAGGTCAGAAGAGGGTGTTCCCTTGGAACTGGAGTTAGGAGTGGTTGTTAGCCACCGTGTGGTGCTGGGAACTGAACCCCGGTTCTCTGCAAGAGCAGCCAATTCTTTTAACTGCTGAGCTATCTCTCCAGCCCTGTCATTTGAGTTTTCTATATATTCTGACTACTGATCCCTAAGTAGTTGGCAAAGCTTTTCCCCATTGTGTAGGGAGGACACATTATTATCATCTGTTTTTTTTTTTGGTTTGTCATTCTGGAGATAGATCCCATATCCCTGCTTATGCTAGGCAAGTGCTCTACCACTGGGCCTTTATCTACCTACTCTACCACTTAGTCTCTCTGTATGCCTTTTTGGAAGGATATGCTCCACTGCCACCTGCTGGACAGTTGTAATAAATTTGCAAATGTGGTAAATCTGTGCCTGCAGCTGCCTGGAGGTGTCCTGCTTGTCCTGGGTCTGATCTGTGCAGTCACAACAAATTTTTCTCATGTCCAGAGGGCCTCACACAGCTGTAGATACACTCAGATATCACACACATCCTTTCAAGCATGTTTTGGTTGCCACTATAGGGTATAAAACAACATCCCACCAGTAACATCCCACTTCCAATGTTACCAGAGAAATTGGGGTTCTCTTTCAAGTACTGTTAATAAAAGAATTTAGAAACAGACTACCTTAGCGTTTGAGAGAAAAACAGTAGTGCAGGCAAGCTGTAAACACTGACCCCCCTCCCCCTAATAGGGAGATGGAGAAGAGGAAGAGAGAAATCCATGCCTTTTACAGTGGAGGTTGGAGAACATCAGCTTGGGGGGAGGTATGTGTGGGGTTGGGCTTCAGAGAATGGGTAGAAGGCCAAGAATGAAACATGCTCAGTATCCAAAAGCAAAGGAAAAGGAGGAAAGAGTGGGTTGGGGAGATGGTTCAGTGGTTAAAGCACTTGCCATGCAGGTGTGAAGACCAGAGTTCAGATCCCTAGAAATCCTTGTAAATGCCAGGTGGGTGTGACTGTAGTTCCAGCTTTGGGAGAAAAAGATGGGATTCCCAAAGCACAGGCCATATTGGCAAGCTCTGGGTTTGAGAGTGTTAGGAAATTAGGAGTTTTAACTCTTTTTGGAGTAATTGTTAGGATTAGGAGTTGAAAGAGCCTCAGGTAGGAAAGAACAACCAGCCTCATAGAATCCACATTGGCCTTTATTAGTCCATGAGGAGTGACCACTGACCAGCCCGGAGTCTGCAGTAGCCACCTGGGGCCAAACAGCAGGGGAGCTTGAGTACTTTTGTGTAGGTAAACAGAGTCATGGGGGTTGGGCAGAGAATTCAAGTCTGCGTTCTTCCCTGATAAATAAGGGTTTCAGGAGGGTTTGTGGAAGAAGATTTATAGGGATCCCAGATGGGCTTGTTTGCAAAGCTAGGATTGCTTCATGGTTTCAGGTTAATGGAGGTCTACCTTCAGAGAGACCCTGCCTCAGTGAACAAGGTAGAAGACCCAACCTCCATATGTTCACACATGGGCATGTGCATCCCCACACACAGGCACGACCATTCACACACATGTGTATATCACATATGAAAAATGGGGAAAGGAAAAAATATTCAGGGACTGGAGAGGTGGCTCAGTGGTTAAAAGTACTGATTGCTCTTGCAGAGGACCTGAGTTGAGTTCCTAACACCCACATGATAGGTAGGAACCATAACTCCAGTTCCAGGGGATCAGACACCCTCTTCTGGCCTCTGTGGGCACTGCATGCACATGGAGCACTTACAAATGTGCAGATAAAACACATGTAGCTAATAAACATTAAAAAAATTTCAGAAAAGCAGCAGGTCACATGCCTGCTTTGAGGGACCGACTTTGGGGAAGTCAAGTACATTATCTCATTAAGGGGATAGTCTGCCCTCTCCTTAGGGAGCCTTCAGATGATTCAGATTTCCTGCTGGGGTGAGGGGTGGGTTCCTGGACAGGTGATTAACAGGCTCTACTGGATTAACTCTTTTTTTTTTTGTTATTGTTGTTTTAATCATGTGCATATGTATGTGTACCAATATTGGAGCTCATGGAGGCCAGAGGTGTTAGATCCTCTGGGAGCTGGAATTACAGGTAGTTGTCAGCCTGATGTGGGTGCTGGGAATTAATCTCGGGTCCTATGGAAAAGCAGTACATGCTTTTAACTGATGAGCCATCTCTTCAGCCCTGGATTAACTCTTTTTTATTTAAATTTTTTTTTTTTTTTACTTTTTGTATTGCCTGCATGTATGTTAGTGTACCTGTGTCATGCAGTGCCTGTGGAGGTCAGAAAGGGTGTCAGATCCCCTGGAACTGGAGTTATGGGCAATTGTTAGCTGCTATGTGGATACTGGAAATGGAACCCAGGTGCTCTTAACCAGTGCTCTTAATCACTGCTAAGCCATCTCCAGCCCCCCCCCCCATTAATTCTTAAAATGAGACAATAATATGTAGTGTGTTGGGTCTCCACTCTGGGCCAGAGGCACAACTCAGATTCTATTCTTTAGACCTGGAGGAAGTAGTCAATATGCCCAGATACCCCACCTTTTAGTATGGTAATTTAAATTCTACTGAGTAACAGTGCTGTTTACCTTTCAAGTGTTACCAGGGAAAGGGGAAGTGTGTTCTAAAGCCTCAGTGACCTCTAAGGTTAATACTATAACAAACAAATGTCCCTGGGGGTAGGGGGAAGGGATCATTCATAGTTGAGAACACAACTATAGCTCAGTGCTGGTCTCTAGAATTTTTTGTGATGATGGGAAAAAATGTTGTCTGTCAACCCTATCCAGTGTGGCTGTCACTGGCCACTTGTGGCTGTTGAGTGTTGGATTTAGGAGACCAGAAAAAGGAAGGAGTTTAAAGTTAAGAAATAAGAACCAGAGCCAGACCTGCAAGGAATATGTCCTCTTTAATTCAGGAGAACATAGCAAAGGGCCAGTGCTGTCCATGGATACAGACATCAGCAAGCATAAGCAGAGCATTTTGGTTTTTATATAGGGACTCTGTTGAATGCAGCTGTAGGAATTTGCTGGGTCTCAGGTGTAAGATATCAGTGTTAGATTTTTGGGAAATAAAAGGAAAGAAAGAGGAGTAGGAGACAAGGAAACAGAGCCAGACCTGCAACAGGTGAGGAGTAGATCTTCCTTTATTCAGAGAAGATACACTGAGAGGTAGAGACTGTCCTCGGGAGCCAAACTTCTACAACTAGACAAAGAAAATGGGGGTGGGGCAGTTATACCAGGGTTGTGGGACACAACTGCACTTAGTCGGGAGTTGAGTTAGTGCCCGAGGGTCTCCTTCTCAAGATTATTTCCCCAGAAATTGGCAGGAGTGTTATCTATGGCCCTAGAGGAAACAGGTGAGCTCCACAAACACTTTCAGGCTTGGGAGTGACCAACTGATAAGGGGTGAGCAGAGCCAGGCTTGAGCAAGGCCAGGCTACCAATTTAGGGCCAGTTTAAGGGATTTATGGCTTTCCCTAATGAGGCTTCTGGCTTTTCT